TGAATAGCACAGATCGCAACACTAATCCTTGGGCCACCCCACTATTTACCTCTCTCCATTGTGAAAATTGACCGTTTATTCCTACCTTTTATTTCCTGACTTTTAACCAGTTACTGATCCAGGAGAGGAACTTCCCTCTTATCCCGTGACTGCTTACTTTGCATAAGCCACTAGGTGGTGTCATGATCACAAGTATTGGCCTTCCCTTGGCTATTACGTTTGCAACCCAAACATTGCAGCACTAAGAACAGGACTATAAACAAATGTGAAACCAATTTCATTTATTGTTATTATCCAAACGGACGGAAATATAAACAGAGCCTAAACAGTGACTTGTACACTGGATTTTTAAAACCCCTTCGCTTCTAAATACCTATGGTGCTATTCGTAACATAGGGAGAGACATGCACTTGTCTACAAGACATGATTCCTTAGCTGACAGTGTTGCTTTAAATGGGCCAAATTATAAAATTAGCTATCAGCTCTGCCTTTCTTTTCTCCATTGTGAGCTTTGGGAGATGAATCACTGTGGTTCATATCTAGGGATATAATATGGCAATGAAGGGAAAAGAAGGAAACCAGGGAATTATGAGTCACATGGAAAATCAGTATCATTTCCTTGTGCCAGCCACTGCAAAGAGCTTTTTAAGGATCTTGAGGGTCTGGAAGAGTTGGTGCTCAATATGGAAATAAAACAAGGACTCCCTGCTTGATGATGTGTTGGGTGTCATAACAGCCTAGGATTTCTCTGGAGCATCCAGGAATCAGGATCTGGCTCCACTGGAAAAACTGAATCAATGGAACATTCAAAACTTCAGGACTAAGGCCAGATGCCCTGGTGAACTGCTGCAATTCACTTTCTGGATTCTGCATCCCAGGCCCCCTCCTAGTCTATTATCCTGACCCTGGGCACCAGTGGAATTCCCCTGGGGAGGAATTTGGCTGAACACCCAGTGAGGTAGGTGAGGAGTGTTGCACAAATCCTGTTGTTACTAAGAATAAATGTTGAATGCAAAATGGACCTTGAGGACAATTCTGTGAATAATCTGGACTCTGAGTAAGGGATGTGTCACCAGTGGGTGTCACAGTAGAACTACAGAAGCAGTGGGATGAGGCAAGTCTTTGACTCCAATCACGGTTATTAGTGATAGGGATAAAAGACGCTACTGTTGCTCGGTAGCGGCCAGTTGCTTTTAACAAGCTTTAATAACGAGTTGGTGAGTTCCCTAGGATGTTGCCCTATACACCAATAGGTTCTGCTTTACAGGGCAAATCTTTATCAAGGCCCCCCAGTCTGAACCAATAAGGTCCTGTGCATGCAAAGGCCAGACTTGGGGAATCCATGCCATTGTTATGCACCTCTGGGTGGGGTGGAACAAAGAGAGCTCGGAGTGAGAGGAGAGATGGAGGAGCAAGGATCTATTATTGCTATGTGGATCCACTGCTCTCCATAAGGGAGCAGGAGACTGAAGCAGCTATACATCCTCTCTGTGGCCTGCTTCCTCCCCATCCTCCTCTTGGGTTCTGGGAAGTGGGTGGGCGCAAGCCCGCCCATGGCTAGAGGACCCTCCCCCAGCCTATGGAGAGGATCCAGTGAGCCCAGGACTCAAATAATTACGGGGGACAACAGAAAAAATAACAAGGACAGATGTGAAGGTCAAAGGGTCAAAAGTAGAAAACCTAAAGGGGACATCGAGCAGAGAACCATAGACAGCGCCCACTGCTCCTCGAAGGTGTCAAGGGAGCCAGCGGATGCTGTCCAGAGGAACTCAGGATGCGTGAACGGAGAGAGACTTGGAAATAGGACTCATGGTCGCAGAGAAGCCCCTCAGCCAACATCCTCTCCCTGGAGTTGTAGATGGACACTTTGGCTATTACTAGAAGGAGGCTGGCGAGGAGGTCCCGTGACTTTGTGGGGCCATGGATAGGGTGTGCATATACGAGAAGATGGGGGGAGATGTACAGCCAAAACTGCAAAAATAAGTCCAGGAGGACCTGGAAAAGGGGCTGCAACCAGGTGCACTCAAGGTAAATATGCGCCAGGGTCTCCCTCACGCCGCAAAAGGGACAGGCATCTGGAACAGGGGTGAACCGTGCCAGGTACACACCTGGGCTCATGGCTCCATGAAGGAGCCGTCAACTAATATCCCAGGCTGGCCGTGGAACCTAGGTGGAATCTAGGCTGGCCCACCAGGGTTCCTCACCCACAATAGGTGGTAATAGGTCCCGCCACTTAGTGTCGGGGCAGGACACAAGGGTGAGGAAATGGAGAGTATGGAGCATGAGCATATACAGATGTGCTCTTGGCATGGTTCAAGAGAGAACCAGCTGCAGGTTCCTGGAAGGTCAGCACGCAGCTTGCCTGCTCAGACTATGCCTGGCTTTCCCGGGTTTGGCCCGAAGTGAAGGCCACAGTGATAACACAGCAGAGCCCTCAGTGACCCTGCACAGGGCCTTAATAAGGGATGCTCCATCACAGAGGTACCCAAACTTTGCCCATTGGAAACTTGCCAGGAACCTGCTGAAAGCATTCCCTAATATGCATACCACGGAGGAGATTTCAGCCATTCTGTTCCGAGCTGTGGAGACGAGGTCTATATGGAGACTGCAGGGCCCAGATGATGAGAAAAAGGGACTCCTTCCCTTGTTTCTCCACCAGATAGCACAATATTTTCTCTTTCTGGTGCCATGAATACACAAGTGAGCTTTACAGCAGCACAGCTGTGCTGATGCAGCTGTGCCGCTGTAAGATCACTCGTGTAGCCGCTCTTTGCCGACAGGAGAGAGCTCTCCCATTGACATAATTAAAACACCTCCAACAAGCGGTGGTAGCTATGTTGGTGGGTGTGATAAATGAAATGGGGGGGTTAGCTCCCTTTTATGGACACCCAGCCAGTCAGTAGCTATAAAATCCCTCTTAGTAGCTGTTCTCTAATTGTGCTACCTGTAAAGGGTTAAAAAGCCTCACAGCTATGCATAGGTAAAAGGAAGTGAGTAGACACCTGGCCAAAAGAGCCAATGGGAAGGCTAGAACTTTTTAAAATGGAGAAGAAACTCTCCTTTTGTCTGTCTGTGGTTGTTCTCCCGGGGAGAGGCGGAGAGGGCAACAGCTATGCTGTAAAAAGCTTGGGCCAGGTATGAAAAACCATCAGTATCATACCTAGAAACTACTCATTGGAAACCCCAGATATGTAAGTAAATCAGGAAATGTCTAGGAAGACGCGATTAGATTTATCTCTTTTATTTCTTTATGGCTTGTGGATTCCTCTGTGCTAACCCCAGGTGTTTTTGTATTGCTTGTAACCTTTAAGCTGGACCTCAAGAAAGCTATTCTTGGTGCTTAATCCTTGTATTTGCTCTTTTAAAATCTAGCAATAACCTGAGTTCCAGATGTTGGGGTTTTTTTTAAATAAAATTTACCTTTTTTAAGAACAGGATTGGATTTCTGTGTCTTAAGAGGTTTGTGCCCATGTTGTTGAATTAGCTGGTGGCAACAGCTGATTTCTTTTTTTCCTTTTCTTTCTCAGCTCTTCCCCAGAGGGTGTGTGTGTGAAAGGGCTTGAGGGACCCCACAGGAAGGAATTCCCAAGTGAGTAGGGTGATCAGTTGTCCCGTTTTTATAGGGACCATCCCATTTTTGGCGCCTATTACCCTCCACCCCATCCCGTTTTTTCACAGTTGCTATCTGGTCACCCTACAAGTGCGCCTTCCTCGGTTCTCAAAGGGGTTCTGCACTTGGGTGGTGGCAGCATCAACCAATCCAAGGTCAGAGAAAAGCTGTAACCTCGGGAGTTTAATACAAGCTGTCATGGAGTGTGGCGGAGTCAGGGCCCTGCACCCCCCTCTTCCTGCGATTCTCCATGACTTACAGCCAGCCTGTAAAATGGAAGGTTTATTAGACGACAGGAACACAGTCCCAAACAGAGCTTGTAGGTACAAACAGGACCCCTCAGTCGGGTACCTCTGGGGGGCGCAGGAAGCTTAGATCCCAGCCCTGGGGCTCCCTCTGATTCCCCAGACCGCTCCAAACTGAAACCGCCTCCAGCAGTCTCACCCAGCCTCCCCCCGGCTCCTCCTCCAGCCTTTGTCCAGTTTCCCTGGGCAAAGGAGTCACCTGGCCCCAACCCCCTCCTGGATCAGGTTACAGGCTCAGGTATCATCCCTCAAGTAAAGTCACCCCCTGCTACCCCATCCCCAATGCAAACAGTCCCAATAAATCTCCCCTGCGACAGTCCCAGGTCAATCCGCCCTGCTTCCTACTGCATCACACAAGCCTGGAGTGGTAAGTATTAATTTTTAAAGTCCTTGTGGGCACCCACCTTCTGCACTCAATGTGCCAGAGGAGGGAATCAGCCTTAACAGCGGGAGAGCATCTCCCGCCGACATAGCGCTGTCCACACCGGCACTTCTGTCGGTGTAATTTATGTCACTCAGAAGGGTGTTTTTTCACACCCCTGAGGGACATAAGTTATACCGACAGAAGTGCCGGTGTAGACATAGTTTGGGTCTATTTTCCAGGCTGTCAGCATGGACAGAGAACACTTTGGTAACAATTTCCCTCTCCATCTCTGAAGGTTTCATGCCGCTGCCCAAAGTCAACAGCAGGAGCAAATCCCATAGTGGACTTCATGGCATTTCTGGCTCTTCTTTTTCAGGGGAAAATCTCAGCTGGGGATATTGGTTTGAGTTGACCGATTTGTTTGTGGGGTGGTGTTTGTTAACATTTAAGATACCCCAATCACCCTTAGACTAGAGACACACTGCAGCCCTGCTGCGTGGACCTTCAGTGTTGTGGGGACAGGGGTAGTTGCAGGCCAAAAAGGGGGCTCAGAGTGTCTAAATCTGCCTTTAGGTGGCCCCACCTTCACGGCGGCTGGCAACCAGGCCCCGGACGCCGGCACTGAAGGCTGAGGAGCCAGGCGGGGCCCCGCCTTTGTCGCCCTGCCCGGTCTCTGCAGCGGGGCCGGGGCTGGGCGGAGCACGGCGGCGGCAGGGGGCCGGGCCGGGGCTGCGGGAGGCGGAGCGGCTCCTCCTACTCCTCCCAGCCGGGCCGCGGCGGGGGGCTGCCCGCGGCATGTCGGGGGCCGGGCCGAGGACGGTGATCTGCCTGCTGCGCCACGACCTGCGCTACCACGACAGCGAGGTGGGGGCAGGCGGCGGCGGCGGCGCCGCGGGCCGGGCTGGGGGCGCGGCTGCCGCCCGCGGAGCGCCGGGCGCTGTCAGGGGCACGGGCTGGGCTGGGCCGTCCCCGGGCGCCGAGCCCCGCGCCCCCGCCGGGAGCCCGGCCCCAGGCCGCGGTGGAGTTGTTGTCCCGGCTGCCCGCACGTGGCTTTATGTAACCCGGGCGCTTCTTGAGCTCCGCCCCCGGGGCCGCTGCTGAGAGCCGGGGCTTGCGGGGCCGAGCCCGGGCCCTGAGCGGGCTGGGGGACCCTAGCCTGAGCTGGGGCCGCAAGGGCAGAGCCGGCGGCTGGGTCTGGAGAGGGGGAAGCGAGGCGGGTGGCAGGGCCATTTTGGTTGGGGAAAGGGGCTCGCTGGTGTCCCGGAATGATGGCGGGCGGGCGGGATAGCTCAGTGGTTTGAGCACTGGCCTGCTAAACCCAGGGGATGCAGCCGATGAAGTGAGCTGTAGCTCAGGAAAGCTCACGCTCAAATAAATTGGTTCGTCTCTAAGGTGCCACAAGTCCTCCTGTTCTTTTCGCCAATACAGACTAACACGGCTGCCGCTCTGAAACCTGTCATCCCGAGGGTGACCAGATGTCCCACTTTTACAGGGACAGTCCCGGTATTTGGGCCTTTTTCTTATATAAGGTGCCAATTACCCATCCCCCCGTCCCGATTTTTCACACTTACTATCTGGTCACCCTGATCATCCCTGGGAGGTAGGGGTGGGACCTATAGGGATCTTTGGCAGTGAAAGGCAGAGCTCTGAGCAGCACATAGTAACGCTACCAGTGTCCTGCATGACTAGAGGGAGATTTAGGGAGGCCAGCGGCAATTACCGAGGTTGGAATTTGACCAGAACTCTGGGGATAGCACCACCCCATTACAGATATTGCCATGGGGTCTTTCGTGCCCTGTACGCTGACCCTTATTGTGGACGCTGCCCACACATTTTAGTCCGTTAAATTAGGGCCACGTTTTAATCTCTCCTCCTGCCAGCAGAGGGTCTGAGAATCCAGCAGATCCCAGCCTAGGGGAAGAGTGGGGATGGCATGGGAGAGTGCCCCGTCACTGCCTCAGTGCCCCCATGCCCTGTGGTAACTGCGATGAAGGGTTCCGGCTCTGTGCATGGGAAGGGGGAGGTTGGAGGGGACAGCTGTAAGAGCAGCAGCATTCCCCGGTTAGCCTTGAGGCACTTCTGTGGGGATGTGATTACTGACTCAATCGGCATGGACGTACCTACCTTTCACCTTGGTGCTGTATAAGCCCCTTTGAGGAAGTCTAATTTTTATAACTGGCATCTGGATACCAAGGTGATAGACACGCTGGGGCTCTGATCCTGGTCTCTTTTAAGTCAATGGGAGTTTTGCCGACAAAGTCTGTGCAGGATCAGGCCCTTGAAGAGAGAGACCCTATAATATAATAAAGCTATAGTACAATATCCAGTTGCATGTCTTCCTTTTTCATGATGAGTCTGAATAAAGGAAAATTGAAATGGTGCTATGAATTGCTGTACAGAAAGAAAACACCTGGAGCACTGACATCTTTAACTGCTCCTCTCTGTATTTCCAGGTACTACACTGGGCTCAGAATAACGCAGACTATATCATTCCTCTCTACTGCTTTGATCCAAGACAGTACCTAAGAACCTATTACTATGGTTTCCCAAAGACTGGGCCGCATCGACTCAAATTTTTACTGGAAAGTGTGAAGGATCTAAGGCAAACACTCAAGAAAAAAGGAAGGTACAGGGGGGTTTGTCGTAAACATGAGTCTGTTTTATTATTTAACCCACTTTGTTCTCCACCTCCTCTTCCTTAAGACTTGTCTGTCCTATGGAGCAAGCAATGCTGGTGACAAGCACATTTGAGCACCTGTTGCTAGTACCATAAAAACACAGGAATTCCCATGCTAGCCCAATAGCCTGTCTCTGGCAGCAGCCAGCACCAGATGTTTCAGAAGATTATGCAAGAAACCCCATGGTCAGCAGTTATGGGATATCTGTCTATCTAAGGTTCTTGTATGGCCTCCATTACCATAACATCTGAGCACCTCACATTATATAAAATATTTATTCTCACAACATCCTTGTGTGGTAGGGAAGTACTTTTATCCCCATTTTACAGATGGAAACTGAAGCACAGATTGGCTAAGTAACAGGAAATCTGTGGTAGAGGAGGGAGTTGCACACTGGTCTCCCTCGTGTCAAGCCAGTGCTCCAACCACTGGACCATCCTTCCTATCCCTAGGGAGTTTCATCTAGTGGTTAGCTTGAGCCCCCTTGATGTATGAAAGATGTTTTCTCAGACCAGCAGGGGCCGTGGCTTTCTGTGTAGCCCATAGCTCAGTGTTATACCACTGATAATACAGTCCTCAGGAAAATCATCTTGTCCTTGCTGGTCAGGGAAAGTTATTAGAATCTAAAATTTTCCAAGCACCTTTTTCTTCATTTTATTATTATCACAGCAAGATAACGTTAATCCTTGGGTAGCAGAATATGCAGCAGCTGGCTTGCCCCTCTCCTGAGGGGGTGCAGTGGTGACAGGTTGTGGATCACAACACCTGAAGAATACCTTTAGGTCTGCAATACACTATGGTCCATGAAAGGGGTTATGCTCGTTTAGGAGGACCAGTCTGAATCCCTAACAAAGGTAATGAACAGGCCAGTATGTGCCACTGGCCTGTACTGGAGAGAATCAGAACTGCTCAAACACATGTGATGCCTTGCGACTGACTCACAAAGGCCACATATAAGACCTAACATCTCTGCAGATAAGAGATTCTTCTTTAGCTCAAATGGCAAAGACCTCTGATTTTTAAGATCATTCAGATCTATACTCCATCTGTTAATATTTGGCATGTCCTTTCAGTGCCGTAGTATTAATATTTGGCATGTCCTTTCAATGCCGTAGTGTTAACGGACCAGATCGTAACTCTCCCTCACTTTAGATCCATGCATAGTGGTGCTCCTCCATGCATAACTCTCCTTTCACATCCATTGTGAGCATGTAGAGGGGAACAACCATTTCCACAGCATGTCTCTCTACGTCCCCCACCTAAACCCAGCCAAGCCCTTTCCTGAAGCAGTGTTTTTGCATAATCTAAGCATTGAGTTTAAATTGTCCTAAGTATTGAGTTTAAATTGGTGATTTAAACTCGATTATTGCTTGTTCTGTTCATTCCCTCTGAAGCACCTGGCACTGGCCACTGTCGGAAGACAGGATACTGGGCTAAATGGACCTTTGGTCTGACCTAGTGTGGCTGTTCTTAAGTTCTTATGTCCTGACAGTGTGGCTTTAACTATTGCAGAGCTACCCAGAGTCACTGCACTGCTTTGCTTGATGTTAATAAATTAATCTTTTCTCCCACGCACACAAAGGCATGATAGGTGCCTCACGAACACAAGTACAGACACCGCCCCTGTCCCAAACAGTCTGCATTCAACAGGTCATAAACAGTGAGGTCCATGTGCAGATGAAAATGGGGGAAAGGAGAAGAAAGGACAAGAGAGGCAATAATAAGTATTGTCTCTTTTTTTTATGCCCCTGCCTCTCTCTGGCTGTATCCAGCTGGTGTCTCTTGTCTCATACTTACTCTGCAGGCTCTTTGGGGCAGGACCATCTTTTTGTTCTGTGCTAGCACTGTGGGTCCTGGTCCACGACTGGGGCTCCTAGGTGCCACGGTCATACAAATAATAATAATAAATAATAGCATAAAGCCTAATTCATTCCAACTTTGTGTGTCCGCAGTAATTTGGTGGTAAGGAAAGGGAATCCGGAAGATGTGGTTCATGATCTTATTATGCAGCTGGGCACCGTTGCTGCCGTGGCTTTCCATGAAGAGGTAAAGGAAAGGTTTGAACCATGTTGGCTCAGCATAAAATTGGCAAGAACATTTAGTGCAGGGCAGTATTGGACTTGCCTGGCCTGTGAATTCAGAGTCCTTTATGTTCTCTGCTACTGTCATGTCTTAACCCCTTGGAGCTGGCTAATTCCAAGGGAGGTCTTAGGTCCGAGTGGCTGATGGGAATCAATTGTGGGTACAGGGTACAGGTTGCTGGTTGTGAGTGGCCACTCGGAGGCACTGTGCTTTGGAGGAAAGCAGTTTCTGGATGCTGGAGGGCTGAGACTCAAGGGTGGAACAATATTCTCCCTCCGACTGGAAACTGCTGTGTGCCTCTCGAACTGCAGAAATGATGGGCATACGCTGCCACGCCCTGGCTCCTTGCTCAGACTGGGAGCCAGCAGCAGGCAGAGTACAGTGGGAGCAAGGGGGCACCAGCAAAGAGCCCAGCCTACCTGTGTATAGGGAAGTGGAGGCAGGGAGAGCGCCCCTGCATTCAGATGGAGAACGGTGAGGAAGCAAAAGAGGATAGACTTGTCCTGTTGGTGGGACGTCGATCTGTTGGCAGAAGTGGAGATCCACCGATTTCTGCACAGCAGATCTGGAGGAGGAGCTCACCAGGAAACTAGGGAATTGACTGCTCTGATATAGCAGCTGCAGGGGCAAGGAGGGAGAAGCAGGCTATTTTCCTGCAGTCAGAGAAGTGGAAGTGTCATGATGATGAACTGGCTGGCTCGTAGGGGCCACCACTACCTTCTTCTGGATGGAATCGGAACTGACCAACTGCGTGTCAGAGGCCAGAACAGGGCTGAGGAGGGAGCCAGGTGTATGGTTTGGGGCAGTGATGTGGGCTGTGTCAGCATATTCTCAGCGAGCTAATTGTGAGTGGCTATTGGAAACTTGCAATGTCCCTAGCCACCAATCTGAATCACAGCCACAGCTAGGGTTGCCAACCCTCCAGGAGTGGCCTGTAGTCTCCTGGAATCAGCATCGATCTCCCGGGGATTGTTGAAAGCAATCCGGGAGATTTTAATAGGATATTTTAAGGAAATGACACCACGTCATGCTGGGGAAAAAAATCTCCCGAAATAGTTTCAGTCAGAGTTGGCAACCCTAGCCACAGCCCTTGGGAAGGCCAGAACTTCATCCCTTTGCCTTGATCTGGATTTAAAAATCCATTAATCCACCCAGCACAAGCAGTTTAATCCGCGTTTAAGGTCCATCACAGCTGTGCCCCTCCCTACTTACCCCATCTTGTCACATGGACTCCTGGCTCCGCCAATGGCACCTGTCTCGACCATCCATCCTGCAACCCTGTCTGGGCGTGATGCACAGCCCACTGCAGTGAGTGGCAAGATGCCCCTGGATATCAGTGGGCCATGGACCCAGTCCTTTATGCCTTCTGCACGTGAATCACCCTCCTTGAGCTGTTCCTCTTCTCCTTCAAATTCCTTCCCAACAACCAACTCTTTTATGATGCCTACAAGAAATTGGTCAACTAAGAGCTTGATGCAAGGCCTGTGTAGTCAATGGCAGGACTCTCATTGGCTACCATGAGTGCGGGATCAGGCTGTAATAGCAGATAGGTCGAGGGGCAGCTGGGTACAGCTGATGTGTGTTGATCTAATAAATGAAACCCAGGATATAATGTCTAGGAATTGTTGGCATTTTGCTTGTGCTCATCTCTTAAAGGGAGGGGTGCGAGGGATTGAGGCCAAAGCCAAATCTGGCAAAGGGGAGGACATAGGAGTGGGAGGTCAGTGTGCATGAGGCACCCCAGATGCTCTCAGCTGCACGTTGGGTGCGCAGACAGAAGAGCATCTCTCTGTTTTTGTCCCCATTGGTGCTAGGTGACGAAAGAGGAGCTGGACGTAGAGAAGGCGCTGCAGCGAGTGTGCGCTCAGCATGGGGTGAAGATCCAGACCTTCTGGGCATCCACTCTCTATCACCGGGACGACCTGCCGTTCAGCCACATTTCCAGGTAGGCTGATCTCTGCCTTCACTCTGTGCGTGGGGATGCTGCCCATTCTTCCCTCTGCCACTGCGTTCACTGCCAGGTCAGGGGACGGATCCTCAGTATAAATTGTCATAGCTCTGTTGGCTTTAATGGATTTATGACAACAATGTACACCAGCTGAGGCTTTGCCCCAGGGGCCTCTTGGCTCATATGCACCAGGGGGTGTGTGTGTGGGCTGTTTAGCTTACGTGCACCACATAGGAGGGAAGGGGCAGGGGAAGGGCCTGTTGGCCCACCTGCACCAATGGGCAGGGGCGGGGCCTGTTGGCCCACCAGCACCTCTGGGGAGGGACCTGTTGGCCCCTCTGTACCAGGAGGGGAGGGGCCTGTTGGCCTATGTGCACCAGTGATGGGAGGGCATTTATTTGTTTTCGCCTCCTCCCAGGGCACAGTTTGCTCCTGTTGCTTCTTTGTTTGTCCTATGCTGCCTGGTGCCCACACAGCTGGGTTACTGCAGTGCCTGCAGGGCAGGGCTGAGCCGTTGCTCACAGCTGGGTCATGAGGCAGCGGGGCAAGTGCCATCTGTGCTCAGAGTAGCCCCCTGCATTTAGTGTAGTGGCTAGATAGGAGCAGACTGACTCTGCATTGGCAGTGCTGGCCCTGGCTTCTTTCAGACCTGCTCTCTGAGCCCAGCACTGAGGGTTTCTTCCCTCCCACACCCCTGTGCTGAGGAACCGAGGAAATCCAGATCATTTCATCCGCCCCCCATTTTACTACATCTGCCAAAGATATCCCCCAGAGCTGCTTTTCTGGTGACAGAGATTGGCCCTCAGCCCAAATGGGGCTTCCTTAATGTACATTAGGGATGGTGGGATAACTACCTTTCCTCCTGTCTGGAAGAAACCAGTTTCTCCCTTGGTTTGGTTGCAGACTTGATAGCATAATATCAGTAAGTATCCATAATTCCTCATACAGTGTTTGTACATACCATTCACAATGATATTAATGACCAGTGTATCAGAAGCTTTCATTTGATACCTCACACAGCATTCTACATAGATAAATACGGTGACAGCAATGTGTTTGGTGTAGTGAGTTTGTCAGGCCCAATCGGAGTTGCTACAGAACGTTGGACCCTTTACAACTAGGCATTGAGGGGTTCCTAAGGTCACAAGCTCACAGTTAAAATATTAACCCTACCCCTTCAAAGAGTTACTGCGCTGTGGTAGCGTATTGCTGTGTGGGGAAAGTTGTGAGGGCCTGTGCAGTCCTAACTGCTGTAATCCACGCAGGTTGCCTGATGTCTATACCCAGTTCCGAAAAGCAGTGGAGGCTCAGGCCAAAGTCCGTCCCACTGTGCAGATGGCAGATCAGCTAAAGCCTCTGGCCCCAGGGGTAGAAGACGGATGCATCCCCGTGCCTGAGGAGTTTGGACAGAAGGGTAGGAAAACCTTGACACAAACCAGTTCGGCTGCTCCCATTGAATTCAGGTGGAGTTGTGGGTGCTCGGCGACTCTGCAAATCGGATCCCAAGGAGTTGCATGGGGGACACCCAAAAATGGAAGCATCCCAAACTCGTGACCACTCTTGAAAATGTGGGCTACATGTGGCTCTGCCTCTGTCTACTTATTTTTAAAAGGGAATAATTGTAAAGAGTTTTGAAGCTAAATTTATTAACTTTATTAGTAGTAATATTAGTAGTATTGTGGACTTAGGGGCCCTAGGCAAGAACCAGGACCCCATTGTGCTAGGCACTGTACAAACACGGAACAAATAGATGGTCCCTACTTGAAGGAATTTACAATCTAAGTAATTGGAAAAAGCTTCAAATGGTTTGGCTACTTATGCATTAATGTACAGATTTGCCCAACAATTTCAAACAGTGAACCCAAAACGAAATACTTTAGAAATTAACTTCAGTTTTGAAAGGAAAGATCTTAATGTTGATTAGCTTTCCCCTATACACACACAAAGCAATCTATCGGAACGCGGAGCAGAATGCGTGTTGGCTGAGAGCAGAGACTAGCCCCACCTAACATCATTACTGAGAATGGCTGTGCCATAAGCTAGAGAACTTTCACATTAATCCCTGGAAAGCTGTGTATGATGAGCTGCTGAAATGGAACTCGCACTCCCAGTGGTAAGTGCTTGGAGACCCCTGGGTGGCAGGATAGAAGGACAAAGCACTGTCACATCTGCCAGCGTCTCGGGATGTGTAGTGACATCCTCCCCCACGGATGGGCCATCAATGAGCATTGATCGTGGGACTTGCGTGTTCTAAAAGAATAGGTCCCTGCCGCCTGGAACAGAGCACCTTCCAGTGCTAGGAGACTCGGAGCCCTCATATGTGGCTCTGCTGCTTAAAGGGGTTACATAGAGGAGAGCTCCCATGCACTTGTCACAGAGACCAATGTTTCCATATTGACGCGGCAAGAATCAAACCCGCAGCCCCGAAGGCAACTCTCCCGTGGGTTTTGAGCTCCCTACCTTTGAGCTCGTTCTCATGCTGACAAGCTGGTGCTTTCCACTGCAGATCCCCTGACGGATCCGCGAACAGCCTTCCCCTGCAGCGGAGGAGAGACCCAGGCCTTAATGAGGCTGCAGCATTATTTCTGGGATACGGTAAGTGTGTGCATTTTCTTGCCAGTGTCCTCCCCCACCTCCTCCTGTCACATTGACACTCTGGCGGGGACGGCAGCAGTTTCAACTCCCACTAGAATTTCCTTAGCGCCTGTGAGGCACTCTTCCTCCATAGGTCTCAAAAGGCTTTACAAAGAAGGTCAGCATCGTCATCTCCATGATGATGAGGAAACTGAGGCACGGAGACAAACAGTGACTTGCCTGAAGTCACCCAGCAGGTCAGAGCCAGGAAGAGAATAGTGCCCTATCCACTAGGCCTCACTACCTAGATTTAGACTAAGGCCCTGTGTACTCCATGACATCGGTGCAAGGTGATTTTCCTGTGCAGTCTACTGTGCACCAGGCCCCAGCACAGATTAGTTGGTAAAGAAAACAGAATATGTTTATCTAACCCACTGCTGAGTGTGGGTTAGATGTCCGTCTCTGTGCCCAGTTCACAGGGATATAGGTCTGTTACAGCTCTCGTCTTGGGAACCTAGGTCTTTAGCTCAAGCTGGAGGGGTTTGTGCTTTCACCTCAGCAGGAACCTGGGGTTGGTCAGGATGGCGGCTGCTGTGTTTCTGAGACAAATAATAGGCAAGCCTGTTAATGTTTCCTGTGCAGGTCGGAGAAGATTAGCTCAATCTCAGTCTTTTTCACACTCATACAATCATGGTGGTGCTACTTATTGTGGATCAACCCTTAGGTGTCCTCCTTACTCAGGCTGGGTTCCCAGATAGTGTAGAGCTGTCACAGCTGACCCTTGTACCCCATCAGCCTCCAGCACAGAGAGCATGTCAGGTTGGGAGAAGTGGCTGGAGCGTGATGCACTCTGCCTTTGTGTAGCTGGTGTTAGCCCAGCACAAGTTAGAGCAGCCCATAGGCTGCTGTAACATGCGCGAGAACTGGGGATCAGGCAGAAAATCAGGATCCCTTGCACCTGATGATGTGGAACCAGAGAATCTGGCCCTAGAAGTGCAAATCTGGGTGGCATGGGTGTAATGGAGATCAGAATGTGACCCTTTACCAGCAGCCACGGGGCAGTCAAAAATCAAAATAAATTGCTTCCAGTCTGATCCTCAAATCCAAATGATCAAGGGGCCAGCCCATCAGCTATCGCAGCAACTGGCTTTTGGAAATTAATCCTTGATTCAGATTCATTGATTGATCACTACCAGTAGGGATCAGTTAGACCATATTCCATTGTGCTTGTAAAAGTCTACTACAAAGTAAAGCAGGAAGCAGAATTTATTACACATAATCCAGGAGCTGTAATAAAAACTTCTGGGGCCATTAAATATTGTGCATCAGAGGAAATAATTTCACAGCAGAATAATGCTGCTAGACAGTCACTGGATGGAGCACTGCCCTGCACAAATATCCATCTCAAACATCCAGGAAAGCATAAGTTGCAGGCTGCCCATATAATGGTTTTAATTTTTTCTTTTTTATTGCTTGGATAGAACCTAGTGGCATCTTACAAGGAGACTCGAAATGGACTGATAGGAATAGATTATTCAACCAAGTTTGCACCATGGTAACTATTCTTCCTTGATTTCATTTGGCTGTTGAAACATCAAGTTCTGTTAGCTTAGATCTGTGGCTGTGTTTGAGATGCCCTTGGCACAGCTTATTGAGGGTGGGATGCAAAGGCAGCTGTAAAATGCCTTTATCCCCTGTCCCTGATCCTGTGGCGGGCTCTGTGTCCCAGGGCAAAGCTGAATAGCCTCAGGGCTGCATCAGAGTATGCCAGTTGCTGACAGCCCCCAAGGGACTGTTGGTACAGCAGGGACTTGCTGAAGCATGGAAATGCCGGGGCAGGGCCCGCTGCACTGAAAGCTGGGATCAAGCAGTGGCATGGAAGCCCGGCAGAGGTCATCTTCAACTGGCCGGATCTGCTGGGTTTATGGCCACTCTGCACTGCAAGAGTGGTGCAAAGCAACCAGCGGACATTAGAGTATCTGATCTGTGGTTTTTTTGGTTTTTTTTTAAAGACATGATACTTTTTTATGTAGGGGCCATAAGCCCAATCCTGGGAGGTACTGAGTTAGCTCCAGATTTACACTAGCGTAACAGAGCCAAATTTGCCCTCATGTTTACGGGGCTTTGAGGGGGGCATGTTAAGTATTTGATCAGTGAGCAACCAGTCGGGTACAGGATCACACTGTATTAAAGACTCCCATTTCCCTGACTGAACTGCAATCAGAGCATTTTTTTTCTAGGAAAAAGAAAAGGAGGACTTGTGGCACCTTAGAGACTAACAAATTTAAGCTTTTGTGGACTACAGCGCACTAGGAACATTCTTGTGTTTTATTAAAATCTAGAGAGGCAAGGTGGGAGAGGTAATGATTTTCATTGGACCAACTTCTGTTGGTGAAAGAAACAAGCTTTCAAGCTTACTCTCTCTAATATCCTGGGACCAAACGAGCTATAACCTCACTGCACATAACAATGGAAGTTATTCCAATCTGGTATTTCTCCTTTTCAAATTGGGATCTATATTCTGTCTGTGGAGACTGGTGCCACCTAGTGGCTCTTTAATGGGCCACTGCTTTGTAACAGGATGTTGTTCGCATGAATTCTCATTTATTTTTGATAGAGTCCACAATGAGCTAAGCGCTTTCCAAATGGAATAAGGATGGTCCATGTGCCAAGGTGTTCACACAAAACTGTGTGCTCCAGAGAACCATCAGTCACGTCTCTGTGTATGTAAGAGCCGTGGAATGGCGTTTGGAGGATAAAGTAATAATGGTCAAATAGAATTCCAGCCAGTCACATTTTCCTGCAGCTGCCAGTTGACTTCTCAGATAGAAATATTGAGCTGGTCAAAAACTTGGGAAAACTTTTTGGAAAATTTCTCCGTATTTTTTTCAAAATTCATCAACTTGTTAAACATTTCCACTAGCTCGGTGGAAAATGCCTGGAATGACTGCCCAGTCAAGATGCATTCGAATAACATTCATGTAAAATCAAGGTTAAAAGCACTTCTCAAATCCCTGCTGTTTTCACTGTTGTGTCCAGAATCAGCGTGGCCATATAAGTACCATAGATAGACTTGTATTCAAAGGAGGGTTTGCCAATGGCAAGAACAGAGGACTGGGAATTTGACGTTCTGGGTTCCGTTTCTGGTTTTGTCACTGTTTCACTAGTTAAATCACTAAACCACTGAATAATTTGGGCAAGTCACCTAGGGCAAAATTTTCAAATTTACCTATCTAAAGTTATCCATTTAGGTACTTGATGACTCCCATCACTGTAGAACATAGAGATGAATGAGTTTCTCCCTGTGAGGGAGGGATTATCACACCCACTGTGAAGCTGAGTCAAAGAGAGATTGCATGACTTGACCAAGGTCATTCAGAGAGTCAGTGGCAGAAATGGGAATTTAACAAAGGTGTTCTGAGTTCTAGTCCAGCATCTTAACCACAAGGCAATCCTTCCTTTCTCTTTGTGTGTACTTAAAGATCTCATTCCCTTATAATGTTCTGGCTTTTTACACGTTTTCCTTGTGTTTACAGGCTGGCGTTAGGCTGTATTTCACCCCGATATATTTATGAGCAGATCCGGAAGTATGAAAAAGAGAGAACTGCAAATCAGAGCACATACTGGTAGGACACAACCAGATCAACAAGGCTTTCTTTCTTTGAAATGTACACTTGCATCTAGTTTGTAGACGGGACTATAAGAGGAAATGATTCAGGAGTCAGGACTACTGTTTTTGATTAACATTAGTGTTTCCTGCACCTGTCTTCTGACTGCTGCTGGGCCTCATTTGAGCTTCTGTTTCTAATATTGGTTAGTTGGCTGTGTTAGATTGCACTGGGTACCGAGAGGCATTGGGTGTCTTGTAAGTAGAAATGATCAGCAATTATTATTATTACGAGGAAATAATGAGGTACTCACACTATACTGGAAATAATGTTTACTAATAAGAAGTAATAATTATAAAGTGATTATTTCATCATTCCCAAAGATGCTGTACAAATAATGAGAGAAGTAAGACCAAATAATGATTAACGAACAAGATCATTCTGGAGCAAATGAGATTTCTCATGACAGTAACCTGGGCAGGATTTGACCCCATATTTGAAATATGATAAAATAAAATCTGTCTGTTCTGCCTTCTTTATCAGACCTATCACCCGAGTTTCTGAGAGCCTTAACATGCAGTCTGTGGCTTCGATCCTGCAAACACTTATGCCTCTGCTTAGCTATTATACCAGGAGTAGTCCCATGGATTTCAGTGGCATTACTAACAGTTGTAAAGTTAAGTATACTCACGTGTGTTTGCAGGATCCGGGCCTAACACTAGATGTGGTTGAGAAGACTGGAAAAAAAATATTGTGGATGTTTTAAAAAAATCTTTTTTCTATTTTTGTGATTTTTTTAAAGCATTTGGCACTGTGTCCTGGCCTATAACCTAAGCCAGACTTCCAGAGAGATCTTGTGAGCAGAAACATCAGATGAGCAGAACATTCGTGACCAGCCAGGGGTTGATGCTGGTCTCAGCGTCCAGGAGCCATGGCCTATAAAACCAGCCATTTGTGCATGGCTAGCAGCTGACTTTACATGTCAGGCAACTGTGAGCACCAAAGACTTGATCCTGCTAGTTAGTGATCACTTCTGAAAGGTGCTGAGTGCCTTCAACTCCTGTTGAAATCTGTGCTTAAGAATATGCATGTGCTTTGCCAAGTCAGGGCCTCAGTACCTCCCAGAAGTGAAGAATTGAACCCCAGTGGAGAGCAGATTGGAAGTGGTGCTGTTCAAGCCTTGGAGTGGGGTTTGGACAGGGATCTGCAAACTGCACTCCGTGAGGTCTTTTTCTATTTTAATCCTCATGATAAAAGTCAGGCCGATAGATTTTTTGCCTCTGTTAACATGACCATGTTTGCAAAGTGGTCTGACTTAAATAAAACACGGGATGTTATTAGTGACTCCATTAGGTAAACAGCAGGTGAAATCCTGGCTCGTTTGAAGTCAGTGGCAAAGTCCCCATTGATTTCAGTGGGGTCGGGATTTCACCCAGTATTTATATTGATCAAAGGCAAAAATGGAGACATGGCTGATGTGTTTTAGGGTCATATTCGAACTCCTGTGGAGGGATTACTTCCGATTTGTCGCCCTGAAGTACGGGACAAGGATTTTCTTATTGAAAGGTGAGTTTAAGTAGCATGCTTTGAAGGCGTGTTGATTTCATTTTCCATTCACGTTGCCATTTAATAGTCTTGGTGATATCAAAGGGGTTTTATGATCCGATTGCTTGGACCGTGGGCCTTACATAGGCAACCGACCTTGTCTTCCACTTAGTGAAGTCATTATTATTGTTCTGTCATCTAGAGACCCAAACTGAAATGGATATCCCATTGTGTTAGGTGCTGTACAAACACATAGAGAGAGTTTCCTGCCCTGAACATCTTGCAACTCTGCCAGTTAGTTTAAACCCAACATTTAGGTTTTATTAAATGTAAAGAATTGGTTTTACAAAGTCTACAGAATGGCATTGGGAGATTTAAAAAAATCAATATGAGCAAAAGGAATTAGCCTGGGCATAAAGTTCCCTTGCCATCTGTGCACTCCCAGCACTGCAGCCTCAGGCCAGTCAGGCAAGAGAAGCAGAGAATGGCACTAACTGGCGGGTTTTCTTTGTCCGTGCCGAGAGAAAAGCAAATAGCAAACCAAGCACAGAGTATAAAGGGAATCTGATTCTTGAAAATTTTCAGTTGAAATAATCTAGGTCTTGACCCTGGTCCCCTAGCCGACGATCCCATTGGCTTCAAGGGAACAGGAGCAGGCCCAGAAAGTATTTATAACAGGAATTTTGCTTTCGACTCTAATGTGTAATCACCATGGGTCCCTGCAGATCACCAGGAGAGCTGGTGAGCTGGCCTGATCCCAAGCTATAATGGCGACTACAGCATCTCATGTTGTCATTGTGGCTTAGTTTAGTCCTTATGCATGTCAGTGCTGGTGTTCCTGACACTTCGTTCATTTCCCCAACAGGACTGCAGGATAAAGAGGTGCCTTGGAAGAAAGATCCCAAGCTATTGGACGCTTGGAAAGGTCAGTTGAAACTGTGATCGCAGTCTTGAGGAAAGTCAGCCCAAATTTACATTGATGTAATGCAGAGCAGAATCAGGCTCCAAAACTTAGACTCTGTTTAGCAATAAAGAGCCCTATCTTGACTTCAGTGTGAGTGGAGGATAGCTAGCAGCTGCTGAGCACCTCCCAGGAGCAGGACCAAGTTACTAGATGCTAAAGGCCAAGTTCTGCCCTTGGAGGTACATGCACACATATATGCAATGCGTTTTAGTTAGATAGTCGAACCAGAGAGGAAATGTTTAGGCCCCCATGGTCCTCTCTGCTTCCTCGCCCAGAGGGCAGCCTGCACCTGCTGACTGTGACTCAGGGAGTGTAAGGGAGGGAAAAGCTCCCATAAGCCCCTCATGGTGTGCTGGGGTATCTATGCTGATCCCTGGGTTCCTCACTCTGCTTGCATCCTCCTCTCAGAGCATTCAGAGGTGTGGAGCAGGACAAAACCAGAGTCAGCCAGGGGATGCTGCTGCACAGAGCTGCTTTCCTCCCTGATCACCCATGCTCAGCGGCGTGGTGCCAGTGGGGAGGACGTTCGGTAGGCTTGAGAGAGAAGATGCTAACTATGGGTCGTTGTATCGGGATTTCCTTTACTTCCATCACCTCTGAGTGGGGGGATGATATGACTCATTGATTCTCCTTCAGCTCAAGTGGCAGAGGCCTGTTTTATCAGAGCTGTAGTTCTGCCTTATGGAAAAGTCCGATAGAATTCCATAGACAACGATAACCTCGCCACGTTTTTAATCCTTCCTGCAGAGTTTAATATTACGTACTACTATGCCAGCTATAGATTTCTATACGAAAGTGAACAAACCTATAAAATAGATCTAATCCGCCATTAAATTCTATAGGCCTTTAGGATCCTTTCATTTCTTTTAGTTAAAACTTTTTTTATTTTTTGTCATTACCGTACATGAATAGAAAATATAATCATTCAAATTGATCAGTCATCCGTTCAGGACTTAAAATCTGTGAACTCATGAACTTATACCGATGTTTGTCCTTCTTAACATTAACCTAATAAATTCACATTTCCACACAAGCAGAAGAAATCGTATCCATTACTATAAAAGAGTTTCCATATATCTCTCCTACTAATATCACCTGATTTAGCTTTCAAAGATATAACCAGCTACCTTATATGTCCCTTCATACTGTTACCTTTAAAAGAACCATCTGTGTTTGGTCAGTCTCATTGTTTTCTCTTTATTTTACCCAAATTCAAAACCTGGTGACTATATGCTGTAAGATCTGATTGACCCTGGTATAAGACTATCCATCACTTTCTCCATCATAACGATTTCCCATTCCAAGGCTCCTTTCTACAGAGCCCTATTTAATTTTTATAGAACCCTACTGTTATCATCTCTATTAAATTTTATGGGGCTGTTCCATATGAGAGAGTTCTATCCCTCATGTTACACATGGATTTGGATCCTACTCACTTGATCCAAGTAGATATCCATATATACACAGCTGCAGATTGACTACAATTGAAAGAGTAAAGATCCTGCATCCCCGCTCTGTTTCTCTTGTCCTGGCAGAAGGAAGAACGGGGGTTCCTTTTGTAGATGCCAACATGAGAGAGCTAGCAGCGACCGGCTTCATGTCCAACAGAGGGCGCCAGAATGTTGCCAGCTTTCTCACCAAGGACCTGGGGTTGGACTGGAGGATGGGGGCAGAGTGGTTTGAGTACCTGCTGGTAAGACCGAACTCAGCGTGTGATTGGAGTGGTTTGTGATTCTCTTTGCAGGTGGCTGACAACAGGCCATCTTGCATGGGCCTTAAAGGAACAGAACTCCCTTTGAGTTCAATAGCAGCTTTGCTCGAAGAAAGATCATATAATTTAGTCTACTCTTTTTAGGGCACTCTCAGTATATGATTCAAAGATTTTGATAAGGAAAGGGTATGTTGCCCAGAGCAATGGTAAGGCTGCCATCAACTGAGATGTAGCTCTGATGCCTGCAATGAGAATTCAGATCTTCTAATGTAACGAGAGAGGGAGGGTAGCCTTGTGGATAAGGCACTGGATTGGGACTCAGGAGAGCTGGGTTCAGTTTGTGACGATACCACAGACTCCCTGAATGACCGCGGGCAAGTCACAAGGGGCCTGATTGTCAGGAGGACTGAGTACCCACAGCTCCAGATGAAGTCAATGGGAGCTGTGAATGTTCAGCACTTCTGAAAAATTACGCTCCGAATCTCAGTTCCCCCTCTGTAACAGGGGGATGATACTTCTTTTCTCCCCTCTTGTCTGTCTTGTCTAATGAGATTGCTGTCTCTTCAGAGCATGGATGGTCCTTCACTTTGTGTTTGTACAGCATCTGGCACAACAGGGCTCTGATCTTGTTTGGGGCCCCACAAGATAAATAATAGTGTAGAAAATGTTGTTCCCTTATAAAAGCCCCTGAGAGGGAAAGATTAGACAAGGTAGCTAGTCTTAGGGGCTGATCCTGTAAACACTCACTGCCAGCCAGGCATAGTCTGGTAGAATCAGTGGGAAACTCGAGGTAGTAGGCGTTATGCCTGGTCATGTTTGTAGTATCAGGGACCTTCATGTTTGACGTAAACAATGACATTCATAGTCAGAGGCAGGAAGGTTCACTCACTGTTTAACAGGAGCTTCTGCTTCTCTCAGTTAGCATTTCCAGAACCAAACCCTTCGCTAGCTTTATTGAACTGAGGCTTTTCTACTTTATCTGGTCCTCCTCTGCTCTTCCATGACCCGGAGCTTGGCAGCTGCTGTAAACCATTCAGTAGGGAAGGTGGTTTTTCACCTCCGCGTTGGTTGTTTCTGGATAAAAAGTGCCTAAGTCCCACCACACTGAGTCGTATCTGTCTGTGCTGGGCTCATCACCGTGAGACCGAATCTGAGACTGTGAAGTAAACCTCACCCCGTGGGGCTCCTAGTGTTAAAATAATACAGATAAATAACACACTGAAGTCCATGAACAGACTCCCTCTGAATGCAATGGGCTTTGGGTTAGGCCCTTAGAGAGAGCACCACTGCATTAATGCCTATGATTAAAAACACTAACAGTGGGGCGATAGTATCTTCCTCTAACCAAACCCCCAGTGGAGTGATCAAAGGTTTGTATCTTCTCTGAGATTGTCCCTGATTTTGTCAGGACATCCCATGGGGAGCTAATGAGCCACACAGTCTCACTGCAGCACATTGCTATTTTAGCACATCACTGCTCCATAGACATTACAGTGTGCAAGGAAAGTGTTTGCAGTTGTGATTTCCTCACATTGACTCACTGTTGGAATTTACTTGATGACTTTTTCTGTGAGTTATTCGCCTCCTTGAGTGAAGCCAATGGGCGTTGCACCCACCTAATCAAGAGCAGAACCTGCCCTTCGTATATTTGTCTCGCTTCCCCATTGCTGACATGCAGCCACCTCTGGGGTGGAACACAGCAGCTGTTCTGTGCCAGCAATGATGCATACCAGGTGGGAAAGCTGAATGCACTAAAGGGATGTTAAGTAAGCAGGCATCAATGCAATTACCCATGTGGGAATTTAGCCAGAACCCTGCCACACTTGAGCAAACTTTAAAAAAATAAAATATTAACAATTGTGTGATTTGTTTAGGTCAGATTCTAGGGACAGGAGCCAGATCCTCAAAGGTAGATAGGTGCCTAAATATGTTTGAGGATCTGGGCCAAAGGCACCAGAGAAATAGAATAAGCATGTATTTTTGGCAAGTTAACTTGATGTTAGTGTAGGGGTCCATATTGAGAACTCTGGCTACTGAAGTCTTCTAGACAGAGAAAAGGCAATGGCTATAATGGGGCCTACTGGCCCTTTGAGAGCACAGGGGGACCAGAACAGCCCATTCCAGGTAGCTGGAATGAACAAAGATCCAGGAAATGGCCTTGTAGTGGAAGAGAGGAAGTGGTCCTGGAGAATTAGTAGTTGGAAGTGGGGGGGACCCAGGGCAGTGTCCCTTTAAGGGCCCTGGACCAGGAGCCCTGTAGAGTAAAATGGGGGAAGGGCTCCCTTCTCTCCAGCCAATCGAGAGGCGCTCTCTGTAGGAGGGCAGTATATAGACACCCTTCTCCCTCAGCACAGGTGAGATGGTGGTAGGAGAGGGAAGCTAGAGCCAGTACCCTGAGCTCCTGGTAGAAATGACTAGGGGGGGTGACTGTGAAGGACAGATGCTGGCAGGGGCTGAGCTCTGTGTGGGTGGCAGAAGGTCAGCGTGAACTCTCTGGTTGCAATGCAGAGTTTAGTTTTTGGGATGTTAAGGACTGTGTGGAACGGCTTGTGGTCATTAAGTCAGCCCCAAGTGGAGGGTGGCTCTCCTCGTAAGAGAGACTGTGGAGCTCGTGAGGGGCCCTGAAGAAAGAGATCAGAGGGAGGGTGCTTCAGGGGGACCTCTGGCCATGAGTGGGCTCTCAGTAAGAGGCAGCCGTGCCAGGCGGTATTGTCAGCTTCCAGCTACTCCACCTTCACCTGAAGGCATTAGCCTGTTCTAGTGAATCCTTGGCATCACTGCATAAGGGTGATGACTAAACGCCAACTCCCAGATACCACCACCCCCCCAGTCATTTCCTGGTATGCATTTCTTCGACTCTCACCCATCCTCCGGGGGCATTGCTAAGAGCACAGTTTCACTTCGGTAGCAGTGTCTCTTATCTACATTTGTTCTCACCAAGCTGAGTTATGAAATCTGGGGCTGGGTAGTTTCCAACCTCATCTACGCTGGTTTTGGCCCCAGAAGTTAATGGCATGGATGGGGGGGGAAAAAAAAGAGAAGGGAGTTCTAATGTCATCCTTCCTTCCCTACCCCACCAGCATCGTGTATCTGGCATGTTGGCGGCAGCATGGTTGCCGCTAGCCAGGCAGAGCGTGGGTATCTGTGGGTATCTTACAAAGCTAAGCCATGGCTTCCTGGCCTGTCGTCTGCAGATCAAGAAGGAGTTTCCTAACTAACGCAGCAACTGTGTGCTTGCTTGGGGCTGGCCCCCACAATGCCGTTGACTTCGCAGCGACTTACAGGAAGCTTGAAGCTACAGTAGACACAAACTTGGCTGCAGCCTAATTTCCATGGCTCGCTTCAGGCTTGTAACACTCAACAGCACCTTGAGCTGTGAGGCTGGGCTGGGCCAGCACTTGGATGGGAACTCTGTACAAAGCGGGGTTGGTGATTCAGTTTGGTGACATTTTTGTCCTGTAAGTCCATGCTGACCCAGTGTCGCGGATGCACCCTCTTTCAGATGACCCTTAAAACCCATATCCTGATGCCAAGCAACTGGCACTAAAAGAACTGGCGGTTTTTTTGAAAAAGCAGCAGTGTTAGCCTGGGTGTCCTGGACAAATTGCAGTTTGAATAACTACAGTCGGCGTAAATTCCTGCTTCAGTTTCAGGATATATATGGCATTCTGGCATTCTTCGTCACTGCAGTGGAAAATGGGGACTGTATTTTCATTATCCCCCAGGGTGGCTGCATTTCAGTGATGGATGACGTGATTCTTATATGCAATGTGTGAATTACGTGATGCATTTTGGGATCCTTTACTATGAAAGGTGTAGAATAACTAATTTCCCATACCCACACAGCTAGTGGTCAGAACTGTACTGTGCGTAAATCATGGAATGAATAATCATAATAATAGTTGATGATTTCTGGCACTCGGTAGTGCCTTTCATTGGAGGCTCTCAAATCACTTTATGAGGGTGGATAAGTCCTGGCATCCCCATTTTACAGAGCAGGAAGCTCAGATGCAGAGTGGATGAGTTACTCACCCAAGGCCTCACGGTGAGTGAGTAGGAGAAAGGTGAATAGATCTCAGGAGTCCTGGCTCCTACGCCCTGCTATAACCACTAGACAGCACTGGCTCCCTTCAATGGAAACTTGATTTGTTTAGGTTTCAGAGTAACAGCCGTGTTAGTCTGTATTCGCAAAAAGAAAAGGAGTACTTGTGGCACCTTAGAGACTAACCAATTTATTTGAGCATGGAGCTTTCGTGAGCTACAGCTCACTTCATCGGATGCATACCGTGGAAACTGCAGCAGACTTTATATATACACAGAGAATATGAAACAATACCTCCTCCCACCCCACTGTCCTGCTGGTAATAGTTTATCTAAAGTGATCATCAGGTTGGGCCATTTCCAGCACAAATCCAGGTTTTCTCACCCTCCACCCCCCCACACAAATTCACTCTCCTGCTGGTGATAGCCCATCCAAAGTGACAACTCTTTACACAATGTGCATGATAATCAAGTTGGGCCATTTCCTGCACAAATCCAGGTTTTCTCACATCCCCCCCACCCCCATACACACACAAACTCACTCTCCTGCTGGTAATAGCTCATCCAAACTGACCACTCTCCAAGTTTTAAATCCAAGTTAACCAGAACATCTGGGGGGGGGGGGTAGGAAAAAACAAGAGGAAATAGGCTACCTTGCATAATGACTTAGCCACTCCCAGTCTCTATTTAAGCCTAAATTAATACTATCCAATTTGCAAATGAATTCCAATTCAGCAGTTTCTCGCTGGAGTCTGGATTTGAAGTTTTTTTGTTTTAAGATAGCGACCTTCATGTCTGTGATTGCGTGACCAGAGAGATTGAAGTGTTCTCCGACTGGTTTATGAATGTTATAATTCTTGACATCTGATTTGTGTCCATTTATTCTTTTACGTAGAGACTGTCCAGTTTGACCAATGTACATGGCAGAGGGGCATTGCTGGCACATGATGGCATATATCACATTGGTGGATGTGCAGGTGTAGATACGCTGGAGGGCAGGGATAGGATACAGAGGGACCTAGACAAATTGGAGGATTGGGCCAAAAGAAATCTGATGAGGTTCAATAAGGATAAGTGCAGGGTCCTGCACTTAGGACGGAAGAACCCAATGCACAGCTACAGACTAGGGACCGAATGGCTAGGCAGCAGTTCTGCGGAAAAGGACCTAGGGGTGACAGTGGACGAGAAGCTGGATATGTGCCAGCAGTGTGCCCTTGTTGCCAAGAAGGCCAATGTCATTTTGGGATGTATAAGTAGGGGCATAGCGAGCAGATCGAGGGCCGAGATCGTCCCCCTCTATTCGACATTGGTGAGGCCTCATCTGGAGTACTGTGTCCAGTTTTGGGCCCCACACTACAAGAAGGATGTGGATAAATTGGAAAGAGTCCAGCGAAGGGCAACAAAAATGATTAGGGGACTGGAACACATGACTTATGAGGAGAGGCTGAGGGAACTGGGATTGTTTAGTCTGCAGAAGAGAAGAATGAGGGGGGATTTGATTGCTGCTTTCAACTACCTGAGAGGTGGTTCCAGAGAGGATGGTTCTAGACTATTCTCAGTGGTAGAAGAGGACAGGACAAGGAGTAATGGTCTCAAGTTGCAGTGGGGGAGGTTTAGGTAGGATATTAGGAAAAACTTTTTCACTAGGAGGGTGGTGAAACACTGGAATGCGTTACCTAGGGAGGTGGTAGAATCTCCTTCCTTAGAAGTTTTTAAGGTCAGGCTTGACAAAGCCCTGGCTGGGATGATTTAATTGGGGATTGGTCCTGCTTTGAGCAGGGGGTTGGACTAGATGACCTCCTGAGGTCCCTTCCAACCCTGATATTCTATGATTCTATGAACGAGCCTCTGATAGTGTGGCTGATGTTATTAGGCCCTGTGATGGTGTCCCCTGAATAGATATGTGGGCACAATTGGCAACGGGCTTTGTTGCAAGGATAAGTTCCTGGGTTAGTGGTTCTGTTGTGTGGTATGTGGTTGTTGGTGAGTATTTGCTTCAGGTTGCGGGGCTGTCTGTAGGCAAGGACTGGCCTGTCTCCCAAGATTTGTGAGAGTGTTGGGTCATCCTTTAGGATAGGTTGTAGATACCCCCCCCCCCCCCAGATGTTCTGGTTAACTTGGATTTAAACTTGGAGAGTGGTCAGTTTGGATGAGCTGTTACCAGCAGGAGAGTGAGTTTGTGTGTGTATGGGGGTGGGGGGGATGTGAGAAAACCTGGATTTGTGCAGGAAATGGCCCAACTTGATTATCATGCACATTGTGTAAAGAGTTGTCACTTTGGATGGGCTATCACCAGCAGGAGAGTGAATTTGTGTGGGGGGGTGGAGGGTGAGAAAACCTGGATTTGTGCTGGAAATGGCCCAACCTGATGATCACTTTAGATAAACTATTACCAGCAGGACAGTGGGGTGGGAGGAGGTATTGTTTCATATTCTCTGTGTATATATAAAGTCTGCTGCAGTTTCCACGGTATGCATCCGATGAAGTGAGCTGTAGCTCACGAAAGCTCCATGCTCAAATAAATTGGTTAGTCTCTAAGGTGCCACAAGTACTCCTTTTCTTTTTGATTTGTTTAGCATTCAAATCTTGTGGAGAACAGAGGATTCTAGCACCTCACCCTCAAAGGGCAGGGGTCTGGAATGAACCATCCTAGGAAGGAGATTTATGGGTTACTTGTCTTTATTTATATAGATAATGTGCCCCCAAGGAACAAAATTTTGCAACCCCTCCCAGCTTGGTATCATCCACAAGCTTTATAAACGTAGCCTCAATGCCATTCTCAAAATCACTTATGAAGATACTGAATAAAACTGGACCCAGGCCAGATCCCTGCAGGACCTGACTCAAGATGCTCTTCCGACTTGACTGCCAGCCATTGATAATTACTACCTGAGTATGGTTTTCCAACCAGTTGTACACACATCTTTATAGTAGGTTTGTCTAATCTGTATTTCCCTAGTTTGTTTATGAGAAGGTCATGTGAGACAGTATCAAAAGCCTTCTGATCACTGCTAACCTTTCTTTTGAAAATTGAAACAAAAATGGCATGTAGTTCTTCGGCCATTGTTGCGTTTTCTGTTATTGTCTTTCCCTCCTTATTGAGTAATGGGCCTACCCTGTCCTTGGTCTTCCTCTTGCTTCTAATGTATTTGTGGAATGTTTTCTGGTTGCCCTTTATGTCTCCAGCTAGCTTAATCTTGTTTTGAGCCATGGACTGTATTTTTGTCCCTACATGCTTTTTATATTCATCCTTAGTAATTTGACCTAGTTCCACCTTTTGTGTGACTTTTTAAAGTTTCACGTCTTTGAAGATCTCCTGGTGAAACCAGTGTGCTTTCTTACCATACTAGGTATCTTTCCTACACATTGGGATAGTTTGCTTTTGTGCCCTTAATAAAGTCTCTTTAAAAAACTGCCATCTCTCCTGAACTCTTTTTCCCCCATAGACTTGCTTCCCACGGGATCTTACCTACCACTTCTCTGAGTTTGCTATTGTCCGCCTTCTTGAAGTCTATCATCTTTATTCTGCTGGTGTTCCTCCTGCCATTCCTTAGAATCATGAACTCTGTGATTTCTTGATGGCTTTCACCCAAGCTGCCTTCCACCTTCAGATTCTTAACCAGTTCCTCCCTGTTTGTCAGAATCAAATCTGGAATAACCTCTCCCCTAGTCACGTTCTTCTCCTTCTGTAATAAAAAGCTGTCTCCGGTGCATTCCAAGAACTTGTTGGCTAATCTGTGCCCTGCTGTATTTTTCCAATGGATGCCTGGGTGAGTTGAAATCTCCTTTCACTAACAAGTCCTGTGCTTTGGATTGTTTTGTTAGTTTTTTAAAAAAGCCTCATCCACTACTTCTTCCTGGTTAGGTGGTCTATAGTGGACACCTACCATGACATCACCCTTGTGGTTTTACCCCTTTTTATCCTTACTCAGAGACTTTTAACAGGTCTGCAGATGTGCAGAGCAGGGTAACAGTCCCAGGGGCCACCTTCCTGGCAGTGTGAGATCTACACGCCGCCCCAGCCAAGGGGGATTCTCCCCTCCACGGTCTTGGGGGAAACTGTTTCACCAGAGGGTGGAGGGAGAAGGATGTTGTGCCCTGGGCTCTGGAGAGGGGATGTACATGGGGAGGGGTGCAGACATGGCTTCTTGCAGGCAGTTTAAACCGCACCAGGGAGGTGTGGTGGGAAGGGAGGAAGCCCAGGTGAATGGGGGGCTCTGGGTGTGTCCCTAGGAGACAGGGGTGATCCCAGATTGGGGACTGGATGTGTCCAGGAGATCCCGGTCTACAGAGAATGTATCCTCTGGGGCGGGAGGATTCTGGGTTGGGGGTACAGTGGGATCCCAGGCCATAGAGAAGGTATCCCCTGGCGTGGGGGATCCCAGACCCTGGGGGCGGGTGTCCCAGGGGATACTGGACTCTGCAGCGGTTCACCGTGCGGGACTGGGGCAGAGCGTGCGGGGAGGTGGGGCGGAGGCTGCCAGAGCCCCTGGGATCGGCTCACTGAACTCCGGCCCCTGCACTCAGCACGACAGCTGCTGCAAAGTCCTGTCCCGGCCGCCAGAGGGAGAAGAACCGGAGGGAGCCGCAGCCCCAGCGCCACCAAGGGCAGAACAAGAGAGTGGGTGCCCAGGAGCAGCCTCTCTCCAGCGGTGCTATGGAGCGAACTGCTGGGCACTGGGTGTACCAGAGTCTGCTGGGATGGGGGCGGAGGGACTTGGATGAGCGGTGGATTTAAATGCTGCCTAAAGGGCAGTGAGAGACGCGGTGGGTCCCGGAGGCCGTTGCGCCCCCTGTGGAGCAGGGTGAGCGCAGTGCTCCCCGCTATCACTCACTGCACTGGATGCTACCCTGCCTGCTGGCAGTGCATACCTCTGCACTGTGCAGGGCACCCCCCTGACCACAGTGCCCTGGGTGGTCTGGTTGCCCACGTTGCCCGCCCCTAAGGCTGGCCCTGGCAAAATCAATCGTTTTCCGCACAGCTCTTAGGTTCCTTTGTTAAAGTGTGGGGGCCCATGGCCACTTTGGCCTCCCTGGTTCCAGTGCCCCAGCTAAGACTCACTTCAGGGAGGGAAACTGAGGCAGTCAGTGCCAAGTGCACCATGCTTGGCCAAGAGGGAGTGCTGGGGGAAGCCACACCCTATGATAGGGCCAATCAATACCAGGCCTGGGCTGTGTGCAGATTTTTTACTGGTGTAACCCCACAAATATTTAAAGTGGTACATCCTCTCCCACTTCCTAGTGTGGAGGCAGTTTTACTGGTATAAAGGAGCCTTACCCCAGTATAACTTGTTCCCCTTCCTATACAGAAATAGCTATACTGGTTCAAGCACCTTTATACTGCTATAACTGTCCACATTAGGGGTGGTTGTACCACTCTAATGGTACCACATAGTGTTGTATGTAGACAAGTCTCAGATGCCAGAGCAATGGCTGTCTCTACATGATTTTCCTCCCTCTGCCCTTTTCTTGCTGAGCAGCAGACCCAGCCCTTCTTACTGGTTCTCCGTGTGTGTTTAAGGTGGACTATGATGTCTGCAGCAATTATGGAAACTGGTTATATAGCGCTGGAATTGGAAACGATCCAAGAGAAAACAGGAAGTTTAACATGATTAAACAAGGCCTGGATTATGACAGCAACGTAAGTCTCCTGGTGAAATGTCCCAGTGCTTTGTAGTTCTCTTCCTCATCTTCCCTCCCACTTCGCCCCAGCAGGTAACAAACCAAAACTCCAGCAACTATGGAAATGGCACATAAGGTTTTGATTTGACTTCACAGTCACCTGGGTCAAATTTTCACAAGTGAGGCCCTGCAGTTACCCTTCTTGGGGCTTGACTTCAATGGAAGCTGCCTGAGGGCTTAGCACTCTTGAAAATCAGGTCACTCATTTAGGCACCTAAATATGGAGGTAGGTGCTTAACTTTAGGCTCCCAAGTGTGAAAATCGGGGTCTACTCATCTGTGGATCCTATTTATTTATTTTAAAAGCAGCCAGATTAGGCTCCCTGAAACCAGTGGTCATTTAGTTTGATCTTCATTCTTTAATGAGCAAAGATTGAGTTTGCCAGAGGCAAAAGCAGGTGCAGCTGCAGTGAAGTCATAGGGGTATGCTGCAGAGTGTGAATGTGTCTTCGTCCCCCGGGGTACCCCCACCGGCATGATTACTGGCTGGAATTGTTTTTTCAGGGCTCTTTTCTCCTCAGCAGGGAATCCGGCAGTCTGTAATGTTGATATTTTAGCCCCAGTGCCACTTAGCCTGTCTCCTCTGAAGAGCTGCTTTCTGCGCTGAGTGGAGCTGCAGAGACAGATGAGTGAAATCTGTCTAGGAGACAAATGAGCATGATGAGCTTATAACAAAAGAATAGCTAATCGTTTGCTCAAATGCTATGGAGACAGGCAGCGGTATAAAACCCTAAAAAAGCGAATGCATGTATTGAAACAGCTAAGCCAGTGTTACAATCTGAGCTGTTTATATTCAGGCGGGTACTGAAGAAAATTAAATGCAGAAGCAGCTACTCAATAGATGCTGTTGCTAGAAAAATCCCTTGGACTGCAGGCCTTTCCTGATGAGTGGTGATAAGGGCAAGAGGAGATCTGGCATTCAGAGTCTGTTACCTGGCTCGGGAAGTCTGCCTCTATGGCTGTCCCCATTACCAGCATTGTGTTCAATGACCATTTCCCCAGGTAACTGTCATATCATCAAGACATGGTGCAATGTGTTACTCAAACACAGGCCAGCTGCATGGGAAACACAGAAATGAATAATGGGAGGGTTGGAATTGATCACCTAACACAGTAATGCACCTCATAGTGCGTTGAAACCCACAGCCATGAGATAAAAGGACAGTTACAGTCAGTTTTCCCCTGACCTTCACCTTGTGTCATCCCTTTCATACTCCTACCCCCTCCTAATGAACCAGAGTTTTGGAGGAGATTAATTTAGCCCCCACTCCCAGCTTCATGGTGTCCTGCACAGTCGCAATCCCTGCTGCCTCCTGTGTCATAGCAGGGAGTGGGGCTTATTTCTGGTTTAGGAACAAAAGCTCCCAGGGACTCTTAAGCACCCCGAGTTGAAGCACGTATTTGGCATCTCTGTAAATCAGGCCACCTATTCAGATGCCTGCATATGGATTTGAAGGCCTAACAGAAAGCTCCAGGGTTTGAAAATGTTGGCCCTGACACAACAGTGCCTCCATTTTCCCACCTGAAAAATGGGGCTAATGCGTCCCCATTTCATGGGGCTTCATTCTTTAGTTAATAAAGCGCTTTCCCATCTTTGTTTTGAAGGCACTGTAGGAAGTCAGATTATTATATCCTGCCATATTGGTTTGAGTGAATCCCCCTGAATACCACTGTTTCCATTTGCAGGGAGATTATGTCCGACTGTGGGTTCCAGAAATACAGTGTGTAAAGGGAGGGGAGATACACACACTCTGGGCGCTGAGCAACGCAGATCTCTCAGAAGCTGGGATAGCTTTAGGGGAGACCTATCCACTGCCAGTCGTCCTGGCCTGGGAATGGAGCAGACATATCAAGCAGAGGCCTGTAAGTACTATGAAGTTTCAACTGAGCTAGGGAGTTTGTTGTTTCTTGCTCTAAACATGGGTGTAAATTCTGCAGTTCTCTCCCATTTACATTTGAGAAATAACTGGAAAACTGGTTTAATCCACATCATTTAAAGGGTCCATGACTGGGCACAACATTACTTTTGAATGAACTCTTGATATCCATGTAACTGGAGTGTGAAGCTGGATTATATTTTATTCTGACTTGTGCATCTATCACAGCACTGCTTACTAAATTCTGATCAGTCTATACCTGTGCAATTTTATTGAAAGCCATGAGATTTCACAGGTGTCTCTGAACGTTTAATTTGGCCTGCAGACACCTTATGACAGGTGGTTGTGTATGAGGAGAAAAGAACCCAGCTTGATTCTCAGATCCCAGGAGGAGTTTGTGGGGCCGGCAGCTAGCAAAAATACCTTTTGGACTTGTAAACAGACACATCTGATCTGGAATTAGTGACCCATTAAACAGGGGACCACAGGAGGCCATTGGTACTAACACACTTTTCAGAGTGGATCTGTCTTTTAGAAAATGCAGCAAAACTAACAAATAAAGAGCTCAGTCTTAGGATTGAGCACTGCCAACTTCCATCTGCTGACCATGCTGCTGCTGTTCTCACCCAATAGCTGTATATTTCATCTCACAAGTTTTCATTACTTTGTTCCCCTCCTTATCTCTCTTGTCCCAAGACAGTTTGATTCTGTAGTGTAATAAACCAAGTACAAGGATGAAACTAGCCTTTATATAGGGTTTGGGTACTGAGGGCCCAACTCCAAATTTCTGACTCAGGCAAAACTCATGACATTAGTGAGATCCTTTGTCTGAGAAAGGCCCCCTGGCTTTGGCTCTGAGAGTTAGAATAATCATTTCTTTTATTTCAGTGTGCAGTCGAGATCAGAAAAGTGACTAACTGTAAATAGCTCCTTGGCTAGTGGCCCTTGCTTGTGACGGGGGGAAGAGTGATAATTTTTCGGCATGAACATTTGAATCCAATTTTTTTAAACTTTTTGTAAAGTGAGATTGGAGTCACATTTCAGCTCTCTCCCCCTCCTCAGCATGCATCTAGCTATCTCAGGAACATCTGTGCCCCTATCACCATAGCATCTGGGCACTGCACAATCACTAATGTATTTTATGAATCACGAAACCCCTGTGAGGTAGGGAAATACTATTTTACTGAGGCACAGAGTGACTTACCCAAAGTCACACAAGAAGTCTGACAGAGCAGAGAATTGAACCCCTGTCTCTAAGCCCTAAGCTAGCATCCTAATCACTGGATCATCCTTCCTCTCTGCTTCTCATCTGGCTAGAACTGCAACATCTTACCCTTTTTTCTGATGGCTGTGAGATGTCTCGGTTGCTTTATAACATAAAAACGAGACTTTCTTTTAGCTTCAATCAAAAACTTTCGCTGCCCTTCTCTCAATTAACAGAACAAGAGAGACCATCCTCCGAGGGGAAGGAAAGATCCCTCCGACACGCCAAGACAACACAAGGACAGAGGGGTGGACTTTTACTTCTCTCGCAACAAAGATTTATCGTGAAGGCAGTCCCTGCACTTCTGGAGAAGTGACTCTGCCTGCTGAGAACTCCAGCTGACAATGGTTACTATTGATGGCTAACTTCTCTCTCCCATTACTATCTAAGTAAACCAAGGGTGACATCCTAGACACATTGAAGTCAATGGAGTTTTGCCATTGACTTCAACTGGATCAAGATTTTGACCTCTAATCTTTAGGAAATTGTTTTCTTAATGAGCCAGCTGATTGGGATTCAGAAGGGAGCTGAAGTTCTTTGTCCTTTGTACTTTTAAGAATCCCGTGACACCTTTAACAAGAACAGAGGTGTTAACCTTGTATTCTGGCCAAATTCGAGTGGGTAGAAATTACACCACCAAAATGCCCCTCAAAAATCAACTGGATGTACTAAGGCCAGATTCTCAGATGGTGTAAATCAGCATAATTCTATTGAATCAGTTAAACTACACTGATTTACACCTGTTGATAATCTGACTTGGTATTTTTCACTTCCTGCTTTTAAACTGTTGCTGTGAGCTGTTAAACAGCTAATGTATTCTATCCCAGAGATGGGTGATGAGTGACTTTGTAAAGTGCTTTTGGTTGAAAGGGGCTTCATAACTAAGTAATTATTAACTGTAACAGTAGGGTCATCTTGTTATTGTCAAGTGGTCAGACTGCTTTTCCAGTGCCTTTGCTTTGTACTGGGGCTTATAGCTGTAGCCAGATTTCTACCTCGTATTACAGACTGGAGAAGGTGTTCACTTTTTTATACATTGGAAATATATATACTGAATTTCCTTACGCTAACATGCTTTAGGGTGTAAAACTTAAAAACATTGTTCCATAGTACAACTTAAACCTTTGCATTGGAATGTCTTTACTTTCTTGATTTCCTCTCTTCTGATAGAGATCAGAAGGCAGAATGGCTGATCTGAGGTGCCAGAATCATAGAATATCAGGGTTGGAAGGGACCTCAGGAGGTCATCTAGTCCAACCCCCTGCTCAAAGCAGGACCAACCCCAACTAAATCATCCCAGCCAGGGCTTTGTCAAGCCTGACCTTAAAAACTTCTAAGGAAGGAGATTCCATCACCTCCCTAAGTAACGCATTCCAGTGCTTCACCTCCCACTTAGTGAAAAAGTTTTTCCTAATATCCAACCTACACCTCCCCCACTGCAACTTGAGACCATTATTCCTCCTTCTGTCATCTGCTGCCACTGAGAACAGTCTGGATCCATCCTCTTTGGAACTCCCTTTCAGGTAGTTGAAAGCAGCTATCAAATCCCCTCTCATTCTTCTCTTCCGCAGACTAAACAATCCCAGTTCCCTCAGCCTCTCCTCATAAGTCATGTGTTCCAGTCCCTTAATCATTTTTGTTGCCCTCCACTGGACATTTTCCAATTTTTTCACATCCTTCTTATAGTGTGGGGCCCAAAACTGGACACAGTACTCAGTACACCAATGTCGAATAGAGGGGAGCGATCACGTCTCTCGATCCTGTTCTCTTTGACTGTATCCTCCATAGTGCTTTCGGTTCACCTTGGAATCTGATGTGGGGTCACTGTGGTAGTTCTGTTTGCCTGTGGCATCAGCCTGAAAGTTTGAGGCCATATACCACACGCAGATCAGTTTCAAAACATTGCTGTATGCTCAGTAACGGCAACCAGTCCTATTCTGGGTCCATTTAGAACTTCAAGTTCTTGTCCAAAACGTCTTAAATGGTTTGACTTGGTTGCTTTAGAATAGTGGCTCTCAACCTTTCCAGACTACTGTACCCCTTTCAGGAGTCTGATTTGTCTTGCGTACCCCGGTTTCACCTCACTTAAAAACTACTTGCTAATAAAATCAGACATAAAAATACAAAATCGTTATAGCACATTATTACTGAACAATTGCTTTCTCATTTTTACCATATAATTATAAAATAAATCAATTAGAATATAAATATTGTACTTACATTTCAGTATATAGAGCAGTATAAACAAGTCATTGTCTGTATGAAGTTTTATTTTGCACTGGCTTGGCCAGTGCTTTTTATGTAGCCTGTTGTAAACGTAGGCAAATATCTAGATGAGTTGATGTATCCCCAGGAGGACCTCTGTGTACACCCAGGGTTACTTGTATCCCTGGTTGAGAACCATGGCTTTAGCGAGATCCTTCCTGTCACTGTTCCCTAGCATGGCATCTTCACTTCCCGAGGAGTCCAGATTCAAACATGTTGAGTCTGGGAGCAGGGTACTCTCAGTGGAGGGCCCTTGATTGACTCTGGAGTTCATTACCACCAGGGATCAGATTGAGCCACAGGCCCTACCTATAAAGAAACTGCTCTGGTTTAAACACGTCAGTTTAAAATCAATCTTATTAAACTGGTTCAAACCCCTAATGTAGAAGCCCTTGCCCTTGCATAAACTGGTTTAGCTTGTATTGGTAAATTACTGACTTAATTTAAACCCATATGTATCTTTCACACATATCATAGGTTGAATCCCTGCTTTAAGTGCTAAATGGAATTAAACCCTAACTATGGAGCCGTGATTTGCACCTCCATAATTAGCAATGGTTAAACCAGTTCATGGGCATCTACACTAGAGGCTTGCACCAGTTTAACTAGAACAATTTTTAAATTGACTTAATTAAACCAGGGTACTTTCCTAGTATGGACAAGAACTAGGGCCTAGTCTACACAAAAAAGGTTTGACATAGCCAAAATGGCAAACCCTTCCAGTCGATATGCAGCGCATACTGGCAAAAATTGCTTTTGCGGTATAACTTATACTGGTTCCTGTAATCAAAAAAGCTATAGCACCAAAAGCACCCTTTTGCCAGTATGAGCTGCATCTGCATTAAGGCATTTGCTGATATAAAAATGACATCTTAATAGCTTTGACTATACTGGTCTGGTAACCTTCAGGGCAGATTGCAAAATTCATCTCTTTCCCCAAACTTCCTCGTAACAAATGAGTTGTGTACCGGCTCCTGCAACATTGCTCCTGGAAGTAACCAGTCATGTTTAACCTTGCATAATTTGGCTTTATCTGAGGGGGAGGAGAGTTTAGTTCCTTTTCCAGGAAGACCTGATGCACTCTACCCTCTGGCAGAGGAGTCCAACCTTTCCAGTCTGGGGCTGATTTCATGGGAAGTTCTGTCTGAGGCCAGGTCTACGCTAGAAACTTTTGCTCGTCTGGGAATGTCAAGGAGGGGGGTGATTTATTTTTTTTAAATCTTTGTGTGTGACATTTTGATCCTGCCAGAGCCCTAGGGCCAGATTCTTAAAGGTATTTAGGAGCATAACACCCATCGGTTATCAGGTTGGGAGTCAGGCATTTAGATACCTTTAAAAATCTGGCCCCTACCTTAGACGGAGTTATACCAACGCAGAAGTGCTTTGGCTGGTATAACTTATTTTCTGTGCAAAATCAATATGTTGTAGTGGCACTCATTTGTTTTTTTTTTCTTTCGTGGGTATAAGCTGCATCTACCTAGGATCTTTTGACAGCAAAGCTGTGTGGGAATAGCTATCCGGGCAAGCCTTTTTCCAGTGTAGACATGGCCTCAAGTAAGTGGAGTTGAACAGGGGCCTAATGCTATAGATGTAAGAGTGCCCCCTCATTGGCTGGAACCCAATCCTTTAAAAATCCAGGGGAGCTGAAACAGGCCCCAAATGAGAATAAAATTTGGCAAATGTGCAGGAGCATGTATGGTATCTTCAGTTGCAGCCTTGTAGGTGGCATGCTATCACCACAAGCTGTTGGATATGTACATTAACGTTAATTTGATTGTCTGTTCCAAACATAACCTCCATTTTCAATCTAGTAGAAACCTAAGGTGTAGGGAGGGGATGAGGAAGAGAAGTGGATGAAGAATCAAAGTTAAGACAAAGTGTAAATGATGTTAGTGAAGATGCTTGTTGCAGAATCAACCCCCCAGCTGCTCTGAATGTCACAGTTGCTCTAAAAACAAAACAAAAAAACCTTTGAAATGTATCTTAAACGCTAATTAAATTAAAGTACAGTGTATTCATTATGGAGGACTCCACTCTGGTACTGGTCCTAAGGAGCTTGCATTTTCTGTCAACAATGTAATTCAGACATAGAAAGCATCAAGAAGATGGATTTAGCACACAACAACACAGGCTTTTTCCGATCTCAGGTTTTTATGAGATAGCATTTATCAGCATGGTATCTAAGGCTTCCTTCTTTCTTGCCCTACATCCCCATCTTTTTCCTTCTCTTCTGCTCCTGTAAGGGTATGTGCACTGTTTCTTTAAATCTGCAGCAGAATACTAGGCAGGGGACTTGGGGAAGGTGATACACCCAAGCTCTGCCTGAAGTAAGATGAGACAGAGTAGTTGTAGGGAAAAACTTTTCCTTTCTTCCAGTCAAGTTCCTCGCCTCCCCCCGCAGCCAAATAATCTGGAGTCCCCTCTACTACTGCCATTTAGCATCCACAAAGAAGAACGCAGAACAGCCTAGATCTGATTTAACAGGTGAGTGCTGAGGATTTCTGGGGTCATGTGATGTCAGTGACATCATCACTTACAGCCTGGAGGAGACCATGTGGGGCAGACCAGGTGCAGCATGGGTCCCCCATAGATGCAGCTCAGGTAAGGGAGGGTGGAAGAATGAAAGAGGGTTATTGCTAGGCACTTGGGTACTGCCTCGGCCACCCTTCAGGGTGTTGGGAGTGAGTGGCTGGGTGAGCTTGGCCATTGCCCTGCTTCAGGTAGCTAAGGAAATGGGGGTCAGCCAGTGTTGCTATGCCTGTCTGGTCAGGAGCAGGCCTAGCCACAGGCATTCCTTGGGGGGTTTCCCTCTCCCCATGGAGCAGGGGTGTCCATCTGCAGGCTCTGCTGGTGCAGGGTACAGCTGGTGGTCTGAGCTTTCTGGACTGAGCCTTCTTCTAGGGGGGGTGTGCCCTGTACAAATGTCCTTTTCTATGCTGGCAGCTCCTGGGCTGCAGCCTGGGTGGGGCCTCCCTCTTTCTCAGCCCTCAGCTGACTGGTTTCCCCGCGAGGAAGGAAATCTCTGCTCTCCACTGCTTCAGGAATGTGGGGGGTTTTGGTGGGGAGAGGAGGGCTCTTCCTGCCACCTAAACCAAGGGCTCTGCTGTGATGGGCACAGCCACCCAACGAGGGCACTGTTGGGACCTTCCACCCAGACATCTCTGTGGGGATGGCAGCAGGGGAAGGCAAATGTGTCCCTTGTGGGTGTGAATAGGAGCAGAAACAAGCTAACCTGAAGTCGGAGTAATAGACCAGAGCGGGGGCTGAGCCTTCAACTGACTTATGTATAGATGTCCCCTACTGAAAACCAGCACTCTAAGCAGGAGCCTGTTGGTTTGGGATGAGCAGGAGATGCTGGTTCAACGCCCAGCTCTGCTGCAGCCTTCCCATGGGATTTTGGGTAGGTCACCCCATCTCTCTGTGCCCCCTCTGGGACATGGGGCTAATAATGCTTCCTCTCTCCCACCACCTGCCTGAGCTCACACACACGCTCTCTGTGTTTTGCAGTACCCAGCCCAATGGGAGCCTCAGAGTCCCTAATACAAATTAGCTTGATCCCAACAGAAATAATGCCATCAACGCATCACTCCCCCCATCCTAGGCCTTGGGGGTGTTCATATTGCATCCCTCTTGGGCTGGGGCATGGGAAATGCAGGCTCTGAGTGCAAGGGTGGGGGTGTCTGTCTCCATGGAGGTGGGGGTAGGGAAGTGGGTTCAGGGGATGGGTAGAGGGGTCACCAGCTGCTCCCTGACAGGCGAGGGGAAAGGACGGTGTGGGTGTGTGTCTGGCTCTTAGGCCAGCGGAGAGCCAAGCTCTGTCAGGTTTTGTGCGGGAAGGGGAGGAAGTTAGAAGAATGCCCTCTCCAGGGAAGAGGGGGCCCTGACCCCCTCCCACACTGAGAAATAGGTGTCTGTCCCTTTGCTCCCAGGGAAGGTGCGTGGGGGACAGGTTGGCTGCCAGGGTGTCCTCCGGGACTGGGGGGCGTGGCTGGCTGTTGGGGGCTCCTGTCTGTCTCTCTGTCCCTGGACTGAGTGTGTGTGTGTGGCTGTCAGGGGCTCCTGTCTGTCCGTCTGTCCCTGAGACTGGGTGTGTGTGGCTGTCGGGGGCTCCTGTCTGTCCGTCTGTCCCCGGGCCTGGGGTGTGTGTGTGTGTGGCTGTTGGGGGCTCCTGTCTGTCCGTCTGTCCCCCGGCCTGGGTGTGTGTGTGGCTGTCGGGGGCTCCCGTCTGTCCCCGGGCCTGGGGTGTGTGTATGTGGCTGTCGGGGGCTCCTGTCTGTCCCCGGGCCTGGGGGGGGGTGGCTGTCGGGGGCTCCTGTCTGTCCGTCTGTCCCCCGGGCCTGGGTGTGTGTGTGGCTGTCGGGGGCTCCTGTCTGTCCGTCTCTCCTCGGGCCTGGGGTGTGTGTGTGTGGCTGTCGGGGGCTCCTGTCTGTCCGTCTGTCCCCGGGCCTGGGGTGTGTGTATGTGGCTGTTGGGGGCTCCTGTCTGTCCGTCTCTCCCCGGGCCTGGGGTGTGTGTGTGTGGCTATTGGGGGCTCCTGTCTGTCCCCGGGCCTGGGTGTGTGTGTGGCTGTCGGGGGCTCCCGTCTGCCCCGGGCTCCCGTCTGCCCCGGGCCGTATCTGTCGCTCCGGGCGCGGGGCTCCCGCCCGGCCCTTCTCGCCCGCAGGGGCGGCTCCAGGGCGGCCGGGCGGCGGGCTTGCAGCCGGGGGCGGGGTGGGAAGCGAAACCCGCGGGGATCCGGGGCGGGAGCGGGAAGTTGCGAAAGCGGCAGGCTCGGATCGCGAGCCATGGACGCGGCCACGGCCCCGGCCGGCTCCGGCTCCCCGGCGGCCCCCGAGCTGGAGACGGTGCCGCTGGTGGCGCTGAACTTCGCGGTGCGGCGGCGGCTCGGGCTCTACCTCAACCCGCGCGCCCCGGTGGCCGCCGACTGGACGGCGCTGGCCGAGGAGCTGGGCTACGAGTACCTGGAGATCAAGCACCTGGAGGCGCAGCCCGACCCCACCGCCCGCCTGCTGGAGGACTGGCAGGGCCGCTGCCCCGGCGGCGCCACCGTGGGCCGCCTGCTGGCGCTGCTGCGGGCCGTGGGCCGCCAAGACATCCTGGCCGACCTGGGCGGCCGCATCGGTGAGAGCCGGAGTTGAACCCGCGCCCCAGGCCCCGCCGCTTCCTCCCGCCTGCGCCTCCTCGCTCTGCTCCGCCCTCTGCGCCCCCTTATTGCCTCTCCCCCCGCCCGGTGCTGCCCCCCTCGCCGGCCCTGCAGCCGCTGCCCCTCGTGTGTCCGGCTCTGCCGCTCCCCTCCCCTCGGCCCGCTCTGTTTGACAGCTGCGCCGGGCCGCTGGGGCTGGACTCCTCCCCGGGCCTGCCGGGTGGCTGTAGGAGCCTGGGGGGCTTGTGAGAGAGGAGAGTGGCCTTTGGCACAGCCCTGGGGGCCGAGGCTGCGCGCTTTGGTGGGGCACAGTTCAGCCTGATCGCTGGATGACCGTCTAAATAGGTTCTGGTGACATCATAGGCCACCTGCTTCATGGGCTGTACAGAAACAAAAGCACCCTAGAAGCAATTTTAATGATTCCCCCCAGGCCCCACCCAAGACCGAATGAATAGTTTAGTTTCTCTTGGGGCTGGGACCGGATCTGTTCAATCTGCAGAGACAACTGGAAAAGAAAGTTCTGGGAGGTTTGGTTTGGTTTCCCCCCTGAAATTCAACATTAGTCAGTGTTAAAACTCTGGTGTAAGCATGGCTAGGTTTTGAGTGTGAACTGCTAGCCTGAAGTGGGTTTAGTTTGGCAGTTCTTGGTGGCTAACTTCCTTTATATCCTTGTCATCCTTTTGAGATTTGCTAGTTAATTTCAAAGCCTGATCTAGACTGATAGGTTAAAGAGTCACTGTCAGCTTGTTTAGGTCCTGAAATTTAACTTTGTTTGGGAAAGCTAAAGCCTATGTGTGGCATCTGTAGAGAATTATAAATAATACAGGGATACTGCATAAGATACAGCTTTCTTTATGAAAATATTTTTTGAGGCCTAACCATAGTTTGAGTGGTATGCTTTTTGTTTTGCTTGTTGCTGTTCTACTCTGAAAACTGACATTGCAGTTACATATTTATTGTGCTTCTCTGATTTTTTTTTCATAGTAAACTTGCTCAGTTTTCAATGGAAAGAGAGAGCCTCATATTTCTGCTAGTTACCAGCCCTGCAAATTCACCCTGCATCCTTTCTGTCTTGCATGTGATCTCCAGTGATATAAATCCTGCAGGTCCAACAATGCCTTTGGCAACATTAGCCATGAGATAGTTTGCCCAGGTTTCATGGAGGGCATGACCTGAAGGTAATGGGATTGGACTGAGAATCTGATTTGGCTGGCAGAATCTTCAGGTCTGGTGATGATCCATGGGATGGAGCCCAGCTTGACTGTGTCAGAGCACAGCCTGAATTTGTGGACCTGGTAGTTGTGTGGGCGGGAATTATTTTTCAACTGAGCAAACTTGATACAGGAATCCATGAGAAATAATAAATAAATAAATACAGAACCCCACAGAGCCATTTTCACAAAGCATTATTTACAATAGAACCACGCTTTACGGGAACCCAAATGGCACTAACTGGAAATGAAGTTTTATCACCTAAATATTTCTCAGGTCTCTTTCGAGTCACAAGTTATGCTTGACACTGAGTGTCTACAGGCTGTACACTTGCTGGGCTACTGGTGGGGAAGTGAGAGATCTCACTTCCTGTTACTTGCTGATGAGAAATCAAGATGGAAAACTTCACCGCTGCATCTTGCAAAACACCAAATAGATAAACCAGTGATCTAGTGTAGAGATTCCCACTGGGTCCCTCCTACTCCCACATGTATTTTGAGGACCCTCTGCTGCTTTTTTTTTTTTTTTTAAGGGACCTGTTATTAGTGTTATGCCTCATGAGCCTCAGTCTGTTTTGTTTTTTTTTGTTTTTTTTTGTGGTCCATAACAAGAAGCAGAGACTTCTGGCTGGGTGAGAAGGTTTGAACTTACAACCCAAATGAAGCTGCACTTCAGAAGCTCTTCATTCTGGCACTGATGCTCTTAATTCAGGAGCTGACTTTTCAGTTCTTCTTGCCACATTAACACGTACAGTTTCGTTCAGGAAGAGGCACTGAGTCTGAATACCTTTCAAAAAGGGAATATAGAACCAAATGGTTTTAACTGGGTGGGGCCTGAAGGTTGAGGAGGCTCCCAGCTGAGAGTCACATTGAGATGTTCGCCTGGAGACTATAGCTTGGGTCTGATCCTATGCTACTTACTGAGCACCCTAAACTCTCATGAAAGTCAGTGGGAGATGATTGCCCTCAGGATCAGGTCCCTAACATGCATTAAAAAAAATGGAGGATTCAGCCACCCATCTCGTTGGTACTGAAATTTGGGCTTTAAGCAGTGCTGCTTCTTGATCTGAGTGTCCTGGCTGTGTTATATGTTTGGATGTAAGACTCTTTGTGAGGCACATAACTGATCCATAACTAAGCCCCTTTGTTTTCCATTTAAACCGATTTTTACCAAAAAATCCCAAGTTTTACAAAAAGCATTATTCATTTTTTTCCGATTTTCACCCTACTTTTGTATCATTCAAATATATTTAAAAACTTGTTTGATTAGGAAAATACAATACCTTGTATGAGATGTATGTATTACGATCATGCATCTGTGTGTATATGCAAAGCTGCCTTTTGAAATAAGGCTATGTATTAGTCTAGAAAAGACAGATAATAAACCACCAGGCACACGCAAGCTCTGAAGTGTGTGCACAGTTGAACGTACTGATGAATCTCACACCCACCACATGCACACTTCGTGCTGTTAGTGGATAATGGTTTAAAGATTTGACACACTAAAATGGGAAGGAAACAGAAATCTGTATCAGAATACGTTTCAGAGCACAAGGAAGTATTCAAAAGTTTAAAAAACAAACAAAATAGGAGAAAAGGATGAAGTTGAGTGTATGCACTGCAAATGGTGTGGCCCAATTATTAAATGTAAATGTTTATAGGCTAAGAGATCTACGTCTTCAACAGTAAACTGTTCATTCAGATAAAAAGTTTTATTTGGGAATTAGAGATCTATTGTTTTCTTAAACTCAGAAGTGGCATTGTTTTTTGAGTTCTGTTTTAGCCCTGCAGCAAACCACATTGAATTCCGTTCATCAAAGCATTAATCTACTGAATAGTTTCCCCCTGTCCTTCTGTCCACCAAAATAAACCCTGATATTTACCCAGAAAAATGATTAATAGTTTTTTGCATTGATTTTTCACCTGTTTTGGTTGTTGTGGTAATAAACACCTATAAATTTCTGGGGGAAATTAAATCAAATAAAAACCGAAACCGAAGGGGCCTATCCATAGCACAGAATTCCAAAGACTGCATGTGGTCTGTGGCATGCACTTCAGAACCAACCTCTCTTTCCATGCAGCCGTGAGTCAACTGTTCCATCCCAATGGATGGCAACAATACGCAATAATTATAGCAACAGTACGTATCATCATTCCTAAAGAGGTGGTGTCTAGTCTAGCCTTAATAGTTCCCATTCCAGCAATGGCAATTCTGCCTTCCTTAGTAGCTCTTTCCATTGCCTGATTGTCCTTAGAGTTGTAAAGCTCTTTACCTTGGTGCGTTTGTCCTAAATCTTCCTTGCAAAAGCCCATTACTTTCTGTTGCTTTCTTGCTGACTAGTGACAAAAACTGGTACTTGTCTGCTTAATAATTAATCTCCCTCAGTTGTCTTTTTTTCCCCTACTCGGAACATGCCCAGTTCATCTACCCTTTCCTCGTAGGGCTTATTTGTTTATAATTTTTACTCCTCTCCTTCAGCTTCCCTTATGCAAGCCATAATTCATTTCAAGATCAGAGCTATGTTATATGCCTTATATTGAGGTTATCTGCATAGACTGGATGGGGTTTATACAACTGCATGGAACTCGGCCATAGGTGAGAGGTTTATGGCAGGAGTGGGTGGGTGAGATTCTGTGGCCTGCGTTGTGTAGGAGGTCAGACTACATGATCATGATGGTCCCTTCTGACCTTAATATCTATGAATCTATTTCCGTTTGCAGGCTTTGTGCACTCTCATTTAGTTGGTTTTGTTCTTATGGTTTCAGACCCCTTGATGGTCACTTTGACTTTGTGCCCTAATTAACACATGACTCAAAGCAAAACTCATTCAACATTTCCTAGCATGGAGACTGACCCATGCCAAAACTACTGGAAACCATTAATCAGCTCAGGTTGGCTGGAAAACCTCATCTCAATTTCAGTGAAATTGGCCTCAATTTTGTATATGTAACAATACTATGTGGGTTTTACCAGGATTGGTGTGTCATTCTGAAAGTTTTGCCTCAGTCAGAAGCTTTCACTCTTGGAGATGGATGGGCAAAAGGATTAGCGCATGTTTGCATCATTAATGGAATAATCTGAAGTGCTCAAATAAGTGTGTATGACCCTGAACAGACTAATGAGGAGAGCATGAACATGGTGTCAGAGCCTTGAATTAAATTCTGATAAGGAACTGGGAAACAGTCTAGAGAAATTCAGATAAGGCCACTCACTGTATATTCCATTTATACAATGTGGGGGGAAATATATAGTTTTTTTAAAATGTTCATTTGCCATCTTATGCACCCAAATTACTTGTTTTCATCCAGCCCCTGGTACTTCCCCTCTAAGCTCTCTGAATAGCTCTGATTTTTCCTCTTGGTCTCTCTTGTTGCTTTTCTTTACCCAGTTATTATTTTAAAATGTGTCATTACTTCCAGTAGATTCTCTTTCCTGCTATTTCCAGTCCCGCAGCAATTGTTCTCATCACAAAGACCAGCCTGTGCAACACACCAGCATCACTAAGATCCAGAGGGTTACATGATGTCTGAAAGGGTTGCATGATGTCTGATTAAAAATTATACATTAAAAAAAACACACAGCAATATTTCAGAGTTTGCCTTTCTCCATTTGTGCTTTTTGTTTGCATTTTGCACTTCCACTTGGGAAGTGGAAAAAACACTAGTCAGTTTTCAGGCTGTTGTTTTTTTCTAATAGTTTCAGATCTATTCTTACTCACTAGTTCTCATGCACTAGTACAGTGCTGCAATGGGTTGGTTGTATACACTACAGGGGAATTTTAAAAAACAAATTTAAAAATTTTAAATTTTAAAAAACAAATCATTACTATTTTCATTTAGATTGTTTAAAAAATAAAGTTAATGAACATATTTCTACTTGTAACAAACCTATATCCACGCAGGATTTCATGGGAACTTCATAGCAGCAGTGGATCAGAGTCCAGATCTTACTGCTCTAGAAGAACATACTACCACAACTTGAGCTAAGGGAGAATCTCCACTGACAGTTACTGTAATCAGCCCTATTCTGCTGTGGGTTTGTCTAGATTTTTATATGGCCTTCCTCACTATAGTATCTGAACGTCTGATTCTGCGACTGATCATCAATTCTGATTCCATCTTCTAGAAGGATGGTTTAGTCCAGTGGTTCTCAAACTTTTTTTTTCATGGACCACTTGAAAATTGCTGAGGACCTCGGTGGACCACTTAATGATCTTTCCAAATGTTGTTTGTACTGTTAGCTAACTTTTGTAAAGTGCTTTGGATAAAAGCGCTATATATAAAAAACAATAATAATTAATTTTTTTTGTTCTACAAATAAAAGCACACAACTCACATATTTTAATATCAGTAGTCTTACCTTTCTAATGGGATGGATGTGCCCCCTGAGCTGGGACTGGGAAGAAAGGGGTCTCTCCCTCTCTCCCCCACCACGGCAGCTCCTGAGCTGGGGCTGGGAAGGAGGGGGGGTCTCTCCCCCTCCACAGCAGCCACAGAGCTGGGGCTGTGAAGGAGGGCCGTCTCTCCCCTGCATCTGCAGCCCTGGAGCTGTGGAAAGATGCCTCTTTCTCTGGCCGCTGCAGCCCTGCACATCCCAAATCCCCCCCACCCCCTCCTCTCACCACTGCCCCCTCCCACCTACTGCCTATTTCCCCCTAAGGCCACCACCTCACCTTACATGTGCGTCTTCTCCAGGGTCCAGGCACCTAATTAGTGGAGCCACACCTGCGTGGCTCCACTAATTAGGTGGGTGGCCCTTCATTCTCTTGTGTGCAGCCCAGGCGCGCACCTTAAAGGGAACTATCTGCGGACCACCTGAATGGAGCTTGTGGACCGTGGACCACAGTTTGAGAACCTCTGGTTTAGACAAATTTTGCATCTTGGCAAAGGGTTAGACTAGATAACTCTTGTGGTCCCTTCTAACCCTATGATTCTTAGCTAGTAGTATACAGATGTGCTAGTCAGTTCATTACATTTATTATTATTAGATTTTTATGAAGACTTAAAAAAACAAAACTCCCGAGTCTCTCAACCCCTAGATTTTGGCTCCAAACTACCTGATGGTGTTTCGTTAAGTATTAGTTAGAGACTCAAAATGGGCAACAATGAAAGGAGAACATGGAGATGTTAAAACCTATGGAGTCACTGCTCTGGTGATATTTGCATACATTGTATGTGCTGTTCAATGAGAACAACAACACCTAAATAACACCTTTTGTCCAGTCTCTCAGTGCATCCTACACACAACTAATACTCCGAAATCAATTCACCTTAACGTTGTAAGTCCCTTTTACTTTCAAGTCAGAATGTTGCTGAAGGACTGGGGTGCTGTTTGTATTTTGTTTAGTTACCGCTAAGCGAGTTCCTCTGTGTGTTGAACCTCAGCAGCATGATCAGCATCAAGTGAGCCTTTTGTGTTTCTTGCAGAAGAGGACTGTAAGAAGTACCTACAGAGGAAAGAGCAGCCTCTTCAGGTGCCAGCAGTAGACAGCAGTGTCCCGAAGACATTGGAGATGTCAGGCATCACTACCAGAGATGATCCTTACGGTAAATAGCCATAGATCTATAGATTTAATAATAGATATACTGTGCTAGGGCTTGTCTTCTATGTATTAGACCCCTGTGAGAAGTACTGAGAATCATTCACCTCCCTTCCTATCTCTGTCCTTCCCTCAACCTATGCATATACATGACATCCTGACCAAGCAGGGAGATAGGATTGAAATACTCAGGGAGGGAAGAGGGGCAGTAGGGCAAATGGTAGTGCAATAAAATATGTGGAACTCTGTGCAGTTTTATAGGCCTAAGGCCAGTGCAGCATGATATTGTGCCAGGACCACTTTCTGTAAAAAGCTTTCATCTCGTCAGAGTTCATTGCATGGATCTAAATTTCCATTCATTTGGAAGGAGACCTTTTTAGGTGAGCGGGATCGCGAAGCCCGGTTTACCAGTTTAGGCCCTGAGCCTGAAAACAGAGCCCCGCCGTTTGAATCCTGTGGGGCTCCCCTCAGGTACAAGGTTCTGCCTGTGTGGATCTGATTTTAGTATCTGGGCCATAGAATGCTAATGTTTTCCCTACCCCACTTTTAGGGCCTGATCCTTCACTACATTAATGCAGTTTTATGCTGGCACAACGCCGCTGAAATCAGTGTTGTCATGCTGGTGTAAAACTGGACTAACACAGTGAGAAATTGAGCCAGTAGAGGTTGGGCACCCAGTTGTGTAAAATGCTAGCCTTAAAATAAGGCACCTGAATCTGTGGTTGGGCACCGAATAAATAAAAGAAGGCCTCAGTGAGAGCTGTAGGTGGCTAACTCAGTTAGGTCACTTATTCAAGTGTCTGATACCCAGGTCAGAAAATATTGGCCAGTCTTCTCCCCATTAGATTTATTTCTCATATAGCTCTCTTTGTGATATGTTTGTATTTCCCAAATCTGAGGGCCTGCCTGATACTGTTGTAAATAGTGAGTGTAGTGTTGCCCTTACGTGAATTATCTGCAGGGACTGAACCTTAGAGCTCTGGATTTAGAAGCAGGAGACTCTACTGCCTGGACCAAACAATCCGATTCATTAGCCCGAAAGCTGCAGCCAACTCAGTCATAAATCTCTGTATGAGGACTAGCCACTAGAGGGGGACAGAGAGCCACACTGTGCTAATATGGGTGAGGTGAAGTTATGAATCCAAGGCTCCAGTACGTGTGGTTGAATTGAATTAATTTAATATGTCTGCATATAATTCTGAATGGTTTCAGGGAACACACCAGAGCTATTTGATGCCTTCATCTGTTACTGTCAGAAAGACATTCACTTTGTCCAAGAGATGATCAGAGAGCTGGAACAAACGGAGTTCAAGCTGAAGCTGTGTGTGTTTGATCGGGATGTCCTGCCAGGATCGTGTGTGTGGTCCATCACTAGCGAGCTTATAGAGAGACGGTGAGTGAACAATGTTTGCAGGGGGGGAACTGGCTGTAAGGAAAGTATTTGTTAGATTTTTCCAGTGTAAGACTTTGGGTAAGCCAAAGGAGAATTGGTTCCTTGGGACCAGATTTGCACTCTCCTGTTGGAGCATGCAGGATGGGATAGAGAGACAGGGAAACACCACAGTGAAGTTTGTGGAGTTTCCTATTTGCTATCTCCTCAAGAAGGAAGGGGGGAGATGTCCCAAACCAAGACCCCCTCCTTATGGCACCACTGGTCTCTGCGCTCTCTTCTGCTGTTTGGATACCCTGTGGTTGCTCAAAGGCAGCTGTGAAGGGGGGCCCAGCAGGAGATAAAACAGCTCCCAGCTGCATCAACTCCCACACAGCCAGATTTCCACACAGAAATCCAGTAAGTTTTCAAGAGACAGTGTTGTGGAGAGTCACTCTGGCCCTCACCCCAGGACTCCTTAGAGCCCTTTTCATAGAGTTCAAGGGGGAGTTGTCCCACAGAGGGTTAACTCCTCCACCTCCCTCCTTATGCCCAGAGGGGAGAGCTGTCTGGAGAGAGCGTCAGTGCCTCTGTGTGTAGGAGAATGCACCAGCACTCAGAGTTTTTCCTTTATCCAGTTGATTTTTCCACCCACTGGAACATTATGATGTCAGTTCTCTCTCTGGGCAGCTAACATAGCTACCTGTGCAGAGTGTGAGCACCCTGGAGCAGCCAGGGAATTCAGAAGAGAGATCTGTCTTCTCCCCAAGACACTGGTGGTGCACAGGGGAACTTATACATGCTCAGTGCTAATGGCTACTTGTCTGGATTTCCGAAGGATCCTTTCAGACAGAGAGGGTTGTTATGGTAGCATCTCTAGGCTCCAGCCAGGATCAGGGCCCTATTGTGCAAGGCACTGTACAAATACACAGGCAGATGATGCTCTGAAGAACTCACCATGTAATGTAAGACAAGACATATCAAATGAGTGTAAGTAGTGAGTAGAAGGAAGATGAAGCTAACAGTAATGAGGTCTTGTGGTTCTGTAGCTTATTGTTAGCAAATGCACAACTTGATGGTTCCAAATCATTGTAACACGTCTTCAAAAATATACCTTAATATCAGTGATACCCACCTGATATCATAGTATGAGATTATACTGTTAAAGACTGCATCATAATGCATTTGTACAAGGGGGCTGAATTAAGGATGCACAAGTGACCTTAATTCTGGCATTCCTAACTTCTGAGTATTTGACTTTGCAATCTCAATAATGTTCCTTTTATGTACATTTTTTGTGTGTAATATATATACAGATGTAAGTAAAGTATCAAAACACTTCAGATTTTATTGACATTAGAACTGGAACACTGTTGATGGTTGCATGTTTTCAGCAGAACAGTGCTATAAAATATATATTTTTCCAGCAAGCATGAAAAGCATCTCTCTTTCGTTCAGTTAATAACCATTTTTTCCCCACTCTCGGTTTAAATCCAGGTGTAGGAAGATGGTGGTTGTTATTTCAGATGATTACCTAGACAGCAATGAATGTGATTTCCAGACCAAATTCGCTCTTAGCCTTTCCCCAGGTAAGAGAATTCAGATGGCCCATTAAGGGTACATTTTCCCACAACAATGCATAGTCAATGTTGTTCTTAATTATTTGTATTACAGTAGCATCTAAAGGTCGCAGCTGAGATTGGTGCCCATTGAGCAAGGCATTGTACAAATGCAGAGTAACGGCTTGCTCTGCATTAACTTGCCAGGTGAACCCGGCTACCACACACTAAAAGATCTGTAGGGAGCTTTGATGTTCTCCCATTTCAAACAGCGCTACATCAAAGTGCACTATGGATCTTTTAGTAGACAGCAGCAGGCTCCATCTGCTGAGTCAGTGCGTAGCAAACTAGTGTGCTGTAGATTCACATCCTGGCTTGCTGCACACTAACTCACAGTGTGGACAAGCCCTAGGAGACAGTCCCTGCCGAGAACAGCTGGAACAGACGAGGGGTGGGGAGGGCTGCAGAAGAGTAAAGTGATTTGCCAATGGCAGAGCCAGGAATAGAACCTAGGTTTCCTGAAACCTAGCCCAGTGCTGTATCCACTCAGCACATTGTCTCGTGTGTGGAAAACCTTCCCCATGGCTAGTGCTGGCCCAGTGTTCAAAGGAAAAGAAAGGGATTTCACTCAGACCAAAGGATGTCATTCTTGAGAGCCATTACTGCTTCCTTGAGGGGCAATCAGAAGGGTAGGAGTCTGATCCTATGCAGACATTGGTAGAGTGATTGCTTGCTGCCCTTTAATTACCAGTGGGTGCTGCAACCTACAGTTCTGAGGGAAGTATGTTCGTAGAAAAGGAAATGGTAGTAACCTAGAAAAGCCTGAAGATCTGGAGGAAGTGGTTTAGGATCAGTCTACTCATTGTTTTTTGGTTACTTGAGTATCTTTTTAGATCTGCAGCTGCATCTGGATATCCCTACAGCACAGGTTGCCAAGAGTAAATCTTTCCAGTGGCATCTGGCCAGGAGGTTGTGGCATGTTGAATAATGAAATGGAGAGCGCTTATCAAATTTGTGGATAACACCCAGCGGGGAGAGGTTGCAAGCACTTAGGAGGACAGGACTAGAATTCAAAATGATCTTGACTAATTGGAGAATTGGTCTGAAATCAACAAGATGAAATTCAGTAAAGATAAGTGCAAAGTACTTCACTTAAGAAGGAAAAATCAGATGTGAAGCTACCAAATGGGGAATAACTGGCTAGTGGGGTCATACTGCAGAAAAGGGTCTGGGGGCTATAGTGGATCGCGCTGAATACAAGTCAATGTGATGCAGTTGTGAAAAAGGCTAATACCATTCTCGGGTTTATTAACAGAAGTGTTGTGTGTAAGACACGGGAGGTAATTGTCTCACTCTGCTTGGCACTGGTGAGGCCTCAGCTGGAGCACTGTGTCCAGTTCTGGGTGCCACACTTTAAGAAAGGTGTGGACAAACTGGAAGGGGAACAACAAAAATGACAAAAGGTTTAGAAAAGCTGACCTATGAGGAAAGGTTAAAAAACTGGGCATGTTTAGTCTTGAGAAACGATGAATGAGGGGGGCCTGATGACAATCTTCTAATATGTTCAGGGGTCTTATAAAAAGGACAGAGATCAATTGTTCTCCGTGTCCACTGAAGGAAGGACAAGAAGTAATGGGCTTAATCTACGGCAAGGGAGATTTAGGTTAGATATTAGGAAAAACTGTCTAACTGTAAAGGCAGTTAAGCTCTCAAACAGGCTTCCAAGGGAGGTTGTGGAATACCCATCATGCGAAGTTTTTAAGAACAGGTTAGACAAACACCTGTCAGGGATGGTCTAGGTTTACTTGGCCCTGCCTAAGTGAAGGGTGTTGGACTTGATGGCCTCTCAAGTCCTCTCGCTTCCACCCCTCCATTGTACATTCTTTCAGAGGTGGACTTCACCGCAATTCTCCATGCCTTCATCACTGGCAGATTGGATTAATCCAGTCTGCTCAGTCAGGGCTATCCCTGTACTTCTCAGACTTCAGCTGGTGCAGAATGTTGTGCGTCTCGCATGGAACGCAGCACACCCATGCCCCAGACATTGCATTAGTTGCCAGTTGGAGTTTTTGTTGCAGTTCATGGTACTGACTTATAAAGCTGTCAGGGTTCTCACCCCACTCTGAACTCTGGGGTACAGATGTGGGGACCTGCATGAAAAGCCCCTACACTTATTTTTACCAGCTTAGGTTAAAAACTTTCCCAAGGCAAAAAGTTTGCCTTGTCCTTGAACAGTATGCTGCCACCACCAAGTGATTTAGACAAAGAACAGGGAAAGGACCACTTGGAGTTCCTATTTCTCCAAAATATCCCCCTAAGCCCTTACACCCCCTTTCCTGGGGAGGCTTGAGAATAAACAAGATGAGCACAAACCAGCCTTGGATTTTTAAGACCCAAAAACCCAATCAGATTCTTAAAAATCAGAACTTTATTAGAAGAACAAAAAAAAGATAAGAGAATAACTCTGTAAAATCAGAATGGAAGATAATCTTACAGGCAGTCAGATTCAAAACATAGAGAATCCCTCTAGGCAAAACCTTAAGTTACAAAAAGACACAAAAACAGGAATACACATTTCCTCCAGCACAGTGAATTTACAAGCCAAAACAAAGAAAACCTAATGCATTTTCTAGCTAGATTATTTACTAACTTTACAGGAGATGGACGGCTTGCATCCTTGATCTGTTCCGGGCAAAGGTATCACACAGACAGACAAAAGCCTTTTTCCCCCCCTCCAGATTTGAAAGTATCTTGTCCCCTCATTGGTCATTTTGGGTCAGGTGCCAGCGAGGTTACCTTAGCTTCTTAACCCTTTACAGGTGAAAGGATTTTGCCTCTGGCCAGGATGGATTTTATAGCACTGTATACAGAAAGGTGGTTACCCTTCCCTTTATTTTTATGACAAAAGCCATTCAAGGTTTGGCTTGTGTATGTTGTAACCTGTTCAGGGAGATTTGAGATGCATGTTTCCATGTGCGTTTGGCTAGGGGAAAGAGCCTTCGACGCTGGAACTTGCTGTCCAGGAGCATGGCCAGTTGAGTCACACTGGTGTAACTGAGACCGGGGTCAGGCCTAGGTGTATGGACCTGTGCGTGGGTGCTGCTGCTTTCACTCTATGGGGGATGTAAAGAATGGATTTATGGTTACGATGCAACTTTCTTTACTCGCATGCCTGGGTGGACTGTCTTTCAGGTGCTCGCCACAAACGGCTGATTCCAGTCAAGTGCAAATCCATGAAGAATGAGTTTCCAAGCATCTTGAGGTTCATTACGGTCTGTGACTACACTAATCCCTGCACCAAAAAATGGTTCTGGATAAGACTGGCAAAATCCCTCTTGCTTCCATGAGACAAAGCTACATAAGCCAGGTGCCTTTTGATCCTGCACAGTTGTGCCTTCAGAAAAAAAGAAACTCTAACATCCAGGTGTAGTCTATACAGTCTTTCAACATGTCAGAACTTTGATCCTTGCAATATTATGCCTGGGGCCTGCAACAGACACACAAGTGATATCTGAAGGGGGGCTTAATTGCATTAAATGGGGAGTTAATTGCAGTAAAAGGACTACAATGCACTTCTCCAGGTGGGTAACTTGAAATGACCAAAGCCACAAACCGTTGATGTTGTACACAACTTTTATATGGTTTTAAACACTGTTACAGGGCTCCCGTAGTGGTATCTGGGGATTGTCAGGGGAATAGTTTCTCTCTTTAATCCCTGGTGAAATCTGATGGCTGGTTACTGACCTGTGTGAAATGAGTTTGGGGGTCTCAGTCTGGTTTTTAGTGGACAAATGACAAATGCCATGAAAATCATTGATACTGGCACCTTGGTTGGGAGAGAGGCCAAGGATTGAACTACCCTTTTGTTCCCTAGAGGCAACCCCTCCAGATCCGGGTTGTAGCAGACTGGAAGGGCAGGTTCCATTGCTGCTGCCCAGATTAAACCTGCTCTCTGGCTGTATGGAGGACTTCAATCTCCAGGACACTCTTTGTATTTAATGAGCAGCACATTTACTTAAACATCGTTTAACTATCTGAAAGAAATTAACTGATCTCCCATTATTTTTAGCAATATCTGACTCTTGAGAAATGGCTGAAGTGAGTTTATTTTTTGTTTAATATTTTTTTCTCAATTTTGGTCTTTTACAACATTTTAGGTCATATTCCAACCTATTCAGAGAGTTAGTTACTCATGTAACGCCCCTATTGCTGACATCCTCTGAAACAGCCTTCCAACCTTGATCAACGATTGGTTCTTCGTTAAAAGCAAAAACCATAGAGAAAGTCATACTAAATAATGAGGGTGCTGCTTGTAGCATGTCCGTCTGTCCGTCTTTGCACATGTCCCATTTAACTAAGTGATCGCTCTTACATCAGCACTGGGAAATCATAGATCCTGTAATGTTTACAACAGATCAATCTCACGTCGATGGCTCAGTCTTGGATTTGTATTGTAGGATTGAACCTTAACACACAAGGTGCTGAATACCTTCAGCTTCCATTGACTTGAATGGGAGAATTGAGCTAAGAACTTTCTAGGAGCAGCCCCTAAATCATTTGGCCTCTAAGAATCTCGCAGAACACACTGGCTTTACAATGTCCCAAAACCAAAAGGATAAGTGTCTGACAAAGAATGCCTTGCATTATAGATCAGACCTACGTCAAAACAAATAGTAATGTTTTAATATGAACATGTATATTTGAATTAATATATTATGATACTGTGATTAATTAATCCGTATACTTTAAATCTAAAAGAATCCCCAGTTGCTTGCATGAATGAGGTTAGGCGCACCACTCTTGTTGCTGTAGTTGTATGCATCGTGTGGATCTTGGCCTCAGAGGCTCTGCATGATCCAGCCCTTATGGAAACTTGGAGGGTGGGTGGGTTGTCCTGTGTTGTTTGTTTGACAGGTTATTTTAAAACAGGGTTTTGGTAAATGTTTACTTTCCAAAGCAATGTGGTTTTCCTGTGCCTACAAATCTCTATTTGCTTGAGTTGCTGCAGGTTGGTTCGTTCCTTCAGCCACTGATTTGCTATGGATTTTATTTCTTAAAAGGAGTCACTCGTGTACGTTTTCAAACAGTAGCCGATCCTCAGTTTCTTGACTATTCATTGCAAAATTAACTGTTTTGAGTTCTTCTGTTAGAAATGTCTGTGTCTGAGTGTCTTTAAAGGACATTAATGTCTACTCATAAGCTGTTGCTATATGTTTTACCAACTTCTTTTTGCCCACTAGGTCTCTTGTAATAGACAAGCCAACCCTATTGTTGGGAACCTCAATTAACTGAAGCTTGTTAAAGCTCTTAGCATCAGTGCTGGGGAACACTTTTGGATGGGCCTGCAAAACACACTTTTTGCCATTTCTGCCATTAACGTAGTGGTCTCCACCACTCTGATGAGATCACCCTGCATAGGTCTGTCCTGAGGATGTTGTGGGAATTAGTGAGAGAACTCTGGGGAAACCCCCAAACTTAACTGATCTAAATGGATATAAATGTATCTCCCAGTCCTCTTGTCCTCTGGCCCTTGGTCCAGAAGTGGAGCACAGCTGCTTATCTTGGGATTCCTGCATCGTTTCTAAATGTCAATTATATAAATAACCTGGGGTTCTGAGGACTGCTAGGTCCCCAGCCATTGTAGGGAATTGGATTGATTTTTTTTTTGCTGAATATTAGCACTTCCCTAGTGTTTTACAAACCTGAATACACCAGTGGTGGGATTGAACCTGATATGTTTGGATCTAAAAGCATGAGCTTCTGTTGAATGACTAGGTCTATTAACTCCGAAGGCTGTAGCAGAAACATGAAACTCTTCATGGTCTAGCCACTGGGGGGGGAGTACAGTGAGCCACACTTACACACATAACTGTTAGTGAATTACACCTCCTAATCCTGCTGGCTGGCAGGGGAAACTTGTCCCCAGTTCATAGCGGGGAAACAGGCACAGAAAGTTTAAGTGACTTATCCAACATTGCACCATCTGGAACCCACATTCCCTGACTCCCCGTGTCCTGTTTTAAGTAGGAAATGTTTAGCACAGATATTGAACTCTTTGGCAGAGACTATAATTTTACAACATGTTTGTACAGCGCCATCTGTGGTGGACCCTGATCTCTGGTTTGGACCTATAGCTGCTACAGCAATGCAGATAATAAAATGATACTATACTGTATTCATATTTACTAGGTGATGAAATGATAGATGAATATCTCTGCTCTCTGAATAGAGAAGATGCTGCTTTTGCAAGGAAAGAAACAGCAGCATCTTCATCATTTCTAGTTCATCCAAACATACCCAGATGAATTTACCATTCCTAATAACCATCAGAGACCTCATATTGTCACCTAACCTCTCTGTGTCTCCGAAGAAAGCTGCTGTTCTTTATAAGTGCAAAGTATTGTTAATGAATGGGATGTGCATGTACTCAGCTTTTTAAAATCAAGACAAAAGTTCTTAAGTAGGCTACAATAACGCTCTTGGGGTTAGAAGTAGTAATCCCAGAAATAGAAGGTCTGGAGGTTTAAAGAGGTACTTCCGTAATATACTGTATGTCAGGTGTCCCCAGACTTTTTATGTCATGTTGTCCCTTATGTAATCTGTCCATGCCCCTCCTGAGGGCTGGGAGCCAAGGCTGGGGCTGGAGCTGCAGCTGGGGTCATGGCTGGGAGCGGGGGCGGGCTGGAAGCTGGAAGCGGGAGCCATGTGGTTGGGAGGGGAGCCAGGCCGTGGTGGGGGGGTCGAAGCTGGGGCTGGAATGGAGCTGGGGGCAGAGCGTGGCTGCATGGTGCTCCGTCCCAACCCCTTGTGGGGGCTGGCCCTGGCCCCGCTGCACCGCCTGAATGTTTCTCCATGCTCCCCTAAATGGGCACGCCTCACAGTTTGGAGACTTCTGCTGTATGCTAAAGTAACTTCAAGATCCTATGCACTTCTGAATTTGTCATAAATCTGTTCTGAGTGTGACATCTCCTTAAGTCATAAAATGTTATTTATCCCAAATGCAATTAAATTGCAAAGGAGTGTTTCTCCGCCCTTCCGCCTCGTCCTGTGCAGAGGAAGAGCCAAATCCTCAATGTGTTTTTAAAAAATTACCCACAAATGATGTTGGTTACATTGTATTTTTTTATCTCACTTTAAAACAATCAGAGCTGTGCTTGTTAATATCAAAACATTTATTTGTATATTTGCATTATTTTCTGTCCATTCTGATGTCCAGCTTTTGAAGGACATACATGTTTTATATCAACTGTTCCACTGGTTGGTTCTTTTTAAAAAGTTTTCCTACTTTTGAAATTGTGCCAAAAATAAAGACTGAAGAAAAGCAACAGGATTTGTGAACATGCTGTTTTTGTATCAGAGAACACCTGCCTTTATAGGGAAGTATGGTATTGGGTATTCAGCAGTGTGTAGCTCACCACTGTGTCCCAGCAGGAACGCTACCAAGAAATTATGCTTCAGAAAGGTACAATTCCTCTCCAGGTCTCATTCTTCACTTGACAAGATGTAGCCTCTTCCCTCTCCCATTGCCTGCATCCAGCCAGCTCTCTTAGCTGGCCTGCGGGGTGGTACCAGGGCTCTGCGTACTCCCTGCACACTGGCTCATGGGCAAGGGGAGTATTGGGCATTCAGCCACTGTGCATCCATTCCCTCTATGCCCAGAGGTCCAAGTAGGTCTCACACAGCTGTACAGGATTGGGGGGGCTTGCCAGCTTTAACCCCTGGGCAGCTACCTAGGACCAGGGCACAATCTACCCTTAAGATGCAAACACAACGCCTCTCAGGATCAGCTCTGCCTTCCAAAGGTAAGGTAGAAGAATGCAGTTTTGCTCCATATCAGGCTAGGTTAAACAGTGTACTTGCATGATGCTATTATGTAGTCTAGTTTCCACTTGTATGCTATGAAGTGCCCAGCAATGGATGATACAAAACACACACAGTTCTGTGGGGAGCATATCTGAAAAGACTTAGGCGCTAACACTGAAATGAAGACCTTTACAAAACCCAACAGCGGGTAACATTTTCAAAAGTGCCCAAGTCCCATTGACTTTCAGTGAGACTTGGCTCCTAAATCCATTTTGAAAATTGGACTTAGGTGCCTAAGTCACTCAGGTTACAACTTCTGCCCTTGGTTGACGGTTGAAGAGTATAACTTGGGGTAGAATTAGGTCTTCGGGTCTTGGTTTTTTTGTAGGTCTGTTCAGTCTCTTGACTGATAAAAGATCGTCTTGTGCTTGAGGCACAAAACTGGGAGCTAGGAGAGCTATTCCCGGTCCTGTCTCTGATTTGCTTTGTGACTTTGAGTAAGTCACTTAACCTCTGTGCACCTCAGTTTCCTCATCTATTAAATGGGAACAATATTTACCTGACAAATATTTATGCAGCATAATTCAGTAGGTTGTATACAATGCTCTGAGCTCCTCAGCTGGAAGGTGATACACAAAGTAGTGTTCTCTCTGAATCAAATTCTGCTTTCAGTTATACCCATATGGCCCCATTGAGATGAATGGAGTTGCCTCAGCATAAGAGCAATTTAGGCCAGAGCCTACATTCACAGGAAGAAAAATGGCAAAGGCGGCATTATTATGCACAAAAAGGAGCAGGAAAAATGTTGCTTGATTATCTTTAGGAAAATAAAAGGAAGCAAACAAGTACAAGGGCTACATCACTAGAAAACACGCTATTAGACTTTAGTAAAGAGAACGAGCTAGCCGAACTCCAGAGGTTTTAGTTGATATCCGTCAGTCGGTCCTGGATGTAGTTCAAACAATGCACCATTGGTAAGAGTTCTCCCAGGGCTAAATTATAAATACTTGTGTTTTCGCCAAATCCCATCAGCACATTTGTGTAATAGGAAAGCCTGGTGGAACTGCTTGAGGAGGACTCTGGAAGCATGCCCACCAAATTGTTCTTTTTGTAGCAAAACCACAGGCACCAGAGCGCAGATTGTTGTGTGTCTGCTCTGAAGCTGCCTCTAGCTTGCCTCCTCTCAGTTTAAAAAGAAAAAAAAAAGTTGATTTACAGTGAATTAATTTTTAACACATTCCAAGCTCCGAAACAATGCATGCTGAATTGTGATCAGCTAAGGACCCAATCTGGCAATAAACCTGCACCTCAAACACCGGTTGAAGTCAACAGATCTGCCCATGTAAGTATTGTGGGAGTAGAACTCTCTGGTGCTGGTTCTCAGCTTGCCTACGCTGGTGCAAAGGTGGAGACATTTTGCCTGCACCCAGTTTGTGCAATGATTTAACTCAATTGGTTTAAAAACCGATTGTATTAATGAACATCGCTATGTAATGTACCGGCAAGTGTGTATGTGCACCACTGCCCTCTGCTGCATGGAATAAAAACTAATGGGCACCAGCTCTAGCAATCTGGCCCGAGCTCCTCTTTAGAGGCCAGTTCTTCCCACCTCTCTCCACTCCCAGGACGCACTGCAGACAGGGCAACGGGCCCCACCCCATTACTTATTGTCCACAATATCTAACCCTTTAAAGTGAGTTTTCTCAATGGGGTCAGGGCCTCATAGTTTATTTACAATCCTAGAAAGTAAGATAATGCAAATGGTTGGTTGGGGTTTTTTATTCTAGATTTTACATGTACATTCATGCCAAAAAGGTTGCAGGGACTGAGTGGGGTTCACACACAGTCACTCACCCTGGCAGTCGCTGGGGGCTGACTCTGAGGCCAGAGCAACTGTCTTTCCTGAACTGCCACAATGCTCCCCTGCTGCTGGTTCTCAATCTCAGCACTGCTGGTTCTCCCCCACTGCTGGCAGAGCCCTGGTGGGTGTGCGAACAGGAGGCAGATGGCTGCTGCAAGGCCCTGCCAGTAGGAGGGGAGAAGGACTGGGGTCCTAAGAGGAGCAAGCTGGGGACACCTCACGAGTGCCTGCCCCTGATCTGTCTTCCCAGTCTGTTACCCATTGGAGCTTTGGTCCCATTTCAGGGCCCTGTCCCCCTAATGAACCTGTCCCCTCAGCCCACTCCCTCTGGGGGCCCTCTTTCCGCCCTGGCAGGACTCAGCTCATTTTCCAGTTCACTTTAGGTCAACTTTTCCCTAGCTGGATGAACTGTGCACAGGAAGGAGCTGATCCATCACTGAGCCATGTCAAGGTGAAGCTGTAATGTAGTTTCGTAAGCTTTAGTGCTCTGGTGTGTGTGACACTTTTTGGGGTGAGGTAACCAGGATGAATCACCTGCTTACAGTGTGGGACAGCCCTGTCTGTGCCCATCTGGGGAAACTCGCCCTAGCCATGGGTTCCAGCACCATCGGTGCTCTGCTCTGTGCTCCGCAAACCTTGCTCTCTCTCTACGTAGGCTAGCAATTTACACACCCCAGTTTGCTACACTGGAATGCCCAGTCCTTTACGTTGTGGACACCTGTAACATACCTATCTGCTGCTTCTGTGGAACCAGTGCACCCCCATTCGCTGGTTTCCCCTCAGTTCTACCTTCTTAACACAAATCACTTAATACAGATTTATAGTAAAACCAAATTGAAGTTTATTTAACAGAGGTAGTCAAATACAAGCAAGTATCAGGATTTGGAAACATAAGGTTACAGGTAAACAACAAACATAAGATGCAAACTATAGCCTATACTTATTAATGAGTTTCTTTCCTGACTAACAAGATGAGCTTAGGGTCAGTTCTTGCAGCGCTTGTCCTGTTTGGGATCCCCTCTTCAGAGAACCCTCCAGGAGTTCATTTGTCTTTGTCAATGCTCAAGTCTCTACCTGGACCAGCCAGTAAACACAGCACTGCCTCTACGGATGTCCATTGTTCTCAACGTTAATTGAGTTAGTCCCGAGGTCCTACCTTGCCTCTGGTGACAAGTCTCACTATTACAGTTTTGCAACCTAATATTCTATATTCTCATAAACTATTTCCCATACAAACATCTCACAATAACCATGACACTAAGTTAGTTCTTAGCTTTGAGCAGAGGCCACACATGACCCCCTCTGGTGTAATATGGAGAAAATGGTTAGACACTGATGTAAAATACCTGCCAGGCTATGCCTGGGCATGACTGTCACAGTGTATCACTGGTAGCTGATATACATCAGAACTCTCTCGGTTTGCAACCTGGCCAGGTTTTCCCAGGATTGTCCCTTTTTTGAGGTAGCTGTCCTGGGAAATCTGTACGGGTGCACAGTACACTCTGCCAGCTGTCCAGTTTTACAGGTTCAGCATCATTCCGGCTGTTCCTTTTTCGTGTTTGTGTGTGTGTGAGAGAGAGAGAGAGATTCTTTTGTTTTTTTATCGTTAAGTCCCCAAACCTGCATTCCTTATGCAGGCTGGAAATGAAGTGAATTAAACGGCACTGCAGTGGCTATTGCTAACCAAGGACTGCAGGAGTGGGACCTGCATTTTTATCTCAACAAATATTTGATGTGAAGGTCTGACAGACTATTGGTTGTACATGAAATAGTCGCTGCAATTGTAGCATTGAACGTTGGTGGTGTGCGACTGGTCAACATAACATTGTTTCTGCTGCCTGACTGGATGACTGAAACATCTGTAAACCAGAGGTGGGATATCAAAGTGATTTAAATATGGCCACTAAATGCTTATGCCATGAACCTTCATGCAATACATACTTGCATAACCATTTGAAATACTTTTATTCAGGAGCATTTCTGAAAACAACTCTCTTCTCCTCTCTTTTGCTAGAAACAGCCCATGTCCTTAGCAAGTGTTGATCCTGCTGGGAAAGGTTAACTGGGGTCTGCTGACTCACTAAGACAGGTGAAGGTTATTCAACTTGCATCTAAGGGAGTCGTGATGGGCTTTATAGGGAGCTAGCATTTAGGATGCGGAAATCCTAGGAGCAGCTATTAAGCCTGGTAAGATGGTTTCTGCACTTTGTTTGATAATAAAGTCAAACCCAAGATGGGGTGAGTTTGTACTTTACACAATGCATGGATTATAATTGCAGAACAGGTTGGGAAAGGGAGCTGCTTGCATCTGGCAAATACTCTCTGAGCGAATCTGTGAAATTGCTTTGAGTGAGTATTCATAAAACTTTTTTGTAGTTATTTGTGCCACTTTAGGCAGGTTCTTCCTCATCTTAGCTGGCTGAACTAAATTGTGACCTGCAGCCTTGCCTCATAACTTAGATCCTTAAAAACTGTTTTTGTGTCACTTGATTGTATGCTTCGCTGCGTCAGGAGCAAGTTTACCATAACAAGCTTCCTCACTGGGGTAGAGATCAAAGCGTAGGCCAGAGAGGCGGAAGACCTAGTTTCATTCCTAGTTTTCCAATAGAATTTGTATACTTCATTCAGAAAGCCACTTAGGCCAAACTTTTCAGAAGTGTC